CTGCTCGGCGCCCGCGGGACGTGCCCAGAGCGCGCGCTGGAGCGGCGCGAGGAGGAGGCGAACGTGGTGCTCACCGGCACGGTGGAGGAGATCCTCAACGTGGACCCGGTGCAGCTCACGTACTCTTGCAAGGTGGGCCGCCCTCACCGCGCCCCCGCCTCGCGGGCCGGGCCCCTCCCCCGCGCGCCGGCCGCCCTGCGGGACCCCGGGCCCGAGCGTGGGAACGCGCCCCGGACGCTCCGCAGCCCCCGCTCGCGCTCCCTTGGAGACCGCCAAGCCTCCGGGTGAGGCGCCAGGTCCCGGAAAAGTCTGGAGCGCCGGGGGAAAGTTTGTACGGTGTCGCTGCGGTCCCTCCCGTGGGGCCCAGGCGCAGGATTCGTGGTGGGGCTGCCCTTCCGCCCGAGCCACCCTTCATCGGAACAAGTGCGCCTCCCCCTGCACCCCCGCCGTGGAGGACGGAGGTTGCCGCATCCCTCTCCACCGTCCAAAGAAAAGGGATAGGGCCAGAACTAGTATGGTCAGTCCTGTCCCCCACCCGCGTCCCAGAGGCCTTTACCAGAGCGAGAGGGTGGTCGGGAAAGAAAAAGGACACACAGCCCGGTGACCTGGCCGCGGAGCCGCCGCAGTGACTGGGTGTGGGGCCGAGCAAGGGGGAGACGGGCCCTGGCGGAGGCCTGGGGGGGTCGGGGGTAGGGGCAAGTGCTGGGTCCTGCTCCCTGAGGAACTGGACCTGGCCATTGGGGCTTTGCCCTGCTTTTCCTTCGGCTGGATCTGGAGCCCTCAGAATAGGTGTGGGGGTTTTGCCCGCAGTCTGCAAGGGAGGGGTCCCGGGACTGGGATGATACTTTTCTCTGACCCCACCAAACCACCATCCTGGACCAGCAATCGGTCGTTCCTACTCCATGGAGATGGTGCTTCTTTCAGAGTGGCCTGTGCAGCTACAGCTGGGATCCCCCAGCCGGGCCCCCTCCCCTCACCGCCAGGGCACTTTGCCAAGTCCCTGCAGGATTTTCTCCACTTCCTCTGGCTGCTTCTGGGTGTGGTTGGGGTGGGGTGGATGGCTGTGAAAGCCCAAAGACCCTCCCCCTGCCTGGCTTAGGATCCTACTATGTGCGGTGGCAGTGGCGGGGAGGACAGGACACTTGAGGCTCTGCAGTGGCTGGAGGGGTTCCTGCAGATGCCGCAGTCCTCGGGCTCCCAGCAGCTGGCCAGGTGGACAGGCTACCCATTGTCTTTCACCGCCCCCCTTGCAGAAGCCCAGGCCCCAGACTCCCAGAGAAGGGGCCTCTCTGCCCAGGGCACCTTTCCAGCCAGTGCACAGGCCCACAGGCCTGTTCCTGTGGGTGCTGCCTGGGGGTGCTGTGTGTTTCAGGCTTAGTCAGAGCAGGTGCCCTGAAGGCACCAGGAGGAGAAGGTGGAGGGTGAGGCTACCTTGAGCTGCCCCAACTTGACTTTGCGGTTACTGCTGCCTTGACTGCATGGGCTGTGGAGCTTCTGGAGGGCCCCCTCCAGGGAGGAAGGTTTCAGCCCACCCACAGGGCTTCATGGACCCTAGCTGGCCCCTGATCCTGAAGCCCTTTGGCCGTGGTTGCTGGCTTTGACCACCACAGTGGCCAGAGTAGAGGCCAGTGGGTGGAGGCAGAAGATGGTGCTCCAGACCCAGGGGCCCATTCTAAGATGTAGCCAGCACCAAGGTTTGCTCTAGATGTGGCTGGGGTTGGCTAGACCTGTGGTGTGGACCTGCTTCCTGGGGGCAGGGATATATTCATGGTGGCTTAACCGTGTGTGTGGCACTAAGGGACCAGTGGTGTTCAGCATGAGTGTGGATTTCTGTAGCCTGTGCCGAAGGTTCACCCAAATATCTGCACATATCTCTGTCCGGACTAGGGTCAGATGTGGATGTTTGACCAGAGCCACTGAGGCCAGAGTATGGGCGTGCTCAGACGCTCAGTTGGCACCCTTCCCTGAGAGGGAGGAGGACCAATGACCCCTGCTCATGTGTCCATTGCAGGTTCGAGTCTGGCGGTACTTAAAGGGCAAAGATGTGGTGGCCCAGGAGAACCTGATGGATGGCGGCAACAAGGTGGTGATCAGTGGCTTTGGAGACCCCCTCATCTGTGACAACCAGGTGTCCACTGGGGACACCAGGATCTTCTTTGTGAACCCAGCTCCCCCCTATCTGTGGCCAGCCCACAAGAATGAGCTCATGCTCAATTCCAGCCTCATGCGGATTACTCTGCGGAACCTGGAAGAGGTGGAGTTCTGTGTAGAAGGTGCGTGCAGGGGTTCATGCAGGGGCTGGTGGTGGTCAGGGTACAGGCAGAGAGGGCAGCAGGTAAGGGCAGAGGGGGCAGGTTTGTAGATGGTGGAGTGTCCTGTTGTCCTCTGGGCTGGCTGGATTGGGGGAGGCACAGAAGAGTTTGCCATGGGCTGGAGTGTCTTGCTGCCGGGTTGTGGTCCAACCTCCGCCCTGCTTCCTGGCTCCCTGGCCTTACTGCACCTCTAGACATGCAGAAGTCGGCAGCCTCAAGTGTTTAGACATCTCTCCTCATAGGCTGAAGAGAGCCCCATCCCTGCAAAGAACCTGGTCTCCTATGCTTCCGCTCTCACTCCTCCTGTGTCTCCTCTGTCCCACTCAGAGGGCCTTTTCCTAGGGGAGAAGCTGGCCCAGGTGAATGGATACCAGCTGTCATGTTCCTTCAGAAGCCCCAACATCTGTCTAGACTGGGCCCTTGTGTTCGAGCAAACCCTTAACATTTTGGCACAGAGATTGCTGGGTGAGGGCTTCCCTGTGTTCCAGAGGCCTGTGGTTGTGGTTTCTGAGATTTGCTTTACTAGGTGGGTGTGGAATCCCCAAACCTCTCACTAGCAGGTCTCCCCCTCCCTTAGGACAGCTCTGGTTGGGGCTAAGACCTTGCTCAGGGAATGTGGCAGAAAAGTATAGGAACTTGTCGCCCCCACATCCTGTCTGCTCCTTCTTGGTGTGCCTGCTGTGTGTCAAGAAGGATGTAGGGTGAGCGGTGTGGGGGATGGAGGGAAACTTCCTGTCCAGGGCAGTGGCAAGGGTTGTGCCTTCCGGTGCTCTGATGTCCTCTGTTGGCCAGCAAGAAAGTCCTTTCTCCTATCTGCCTTGCGGCTTTGCTGCTGGCTTGATTCCTCAGAAGTATTCACAGTGGCCTAGGAAGCTCTGTGCAGGGGGAACAGCACAGCCCAGAGCTGAAAGGCCTTTCCTCCAGCTGCAGTTAGCTGCTTCTGGGCTGCCTCCAGGTCCTGGATCCAGCTCTGTTGAGACAAACTCAGCTGTGGGGACCTGAGCCTGCCCATTCTACTGCAGGGACCAGGAACCTAGCCCTGCCCTGGAAGCTTGTGGTCTAGGAAAAGATGGAGGTGTGGTGTGGATGTGGGGCAGGATGGGGTCAGTGATGTCCAGTTTTGGGAGTGGGTAGGAAGCCAGAAAAGGAGGGTCAGGGCCCAACAATCCCTTGTCTCTGCCAGACCTAGAAGGCAATCAATCATTAACCCTGTAGCTGGGTGGGTCCAGCCTGAGGGTCCATGACTCAGTAACTGAGGTCCTGCTGTGGGGTCAGAGGTCACATGGAGGGAGGATCACCCTGGGCAAAGGAAGGCGTGGCGTCTCTCCAGAGCTGCTCTGCCCATGCTAGGCCCTGGTACTGGTGGTGAGAAGGCCAAGGCTGAGCGGTGGGATGGCCCCTAGTGGTGTGACTGGACCTACCTTATGTGTCCAGAAGTGGCCATGGATGGTGGCCATGCAGAGACCATTCTAGGACCGGAGGTCCAGGTGGGAACCGGGACCCATAGGCCAGTACACAGCCAGCTAAGGAGAGGGCTTATGGGAAGCTGGGAGCCTGGGCTGTGACGAAAGGTGCTGAGCTCACAGGGACCTTTTTGGAAGCAGACCAGAGCCCTAGGCTGGAGAAGGACCATCCTCAGTCTGCATGGAGTGAGAGGTAGGGATTAAGGATTTAGGACTGCACCATCCCTCACTGTAGTGGGCACAAGCCAACTCCTCCCCTTTGACCCCCATCCTGCCCCTGCCACAGGGTAAAGTCTGGGTGTCACCACCACACTGCCCTGAGGGGCACCTGCTGCGGGGGCACACAACTGTCCTGCTTCTAGAGCCTTCTTTTCCTCAGTTTCTCCCTGGCCAGCTGGGGTTTCCTGGCCCTGTCCAGTCAGCCCAGCCCCCAGCCCCCAGAAAGGCTCCTCCCTGGTCCTTGCCTGGGGAGCTACATTCCTGGCATAACTGAGACAGGTATGTGCCCCTCCCTTGCGCCACCTTTGGGCAGGGGAGGCTGTTCCTTTGGAAAGGAGCCCCCCTCCACCCCCTGCTTTGTGTGGGTAGTGGCCTGTTTCTCTCCAAGCAGGAGCCTGCTTTGGGCAGCCTTTGGCCACATTGGATCTGGGCACTTCCCCATCTGCCGTCCTCCACCAACTTCAGGAGAAGTCCTGGTACCTCCCTGAAGCCCTTAGGAGGGACACAGGTATGGCTAGGGCCCTTCCCTTTGCAGGACCAGAGAAAGGAAGTGTTGTCTGCCCTGCCAGGGCCTGGCAGAGGGATAGGGCAGGGGGCCAGGGTTGGAATGATCCTGGTGCCTGCCCAGTCCTGAAGCCAAGGGTCCTGGCAGCTGTGCTCCCTGACCCCTCCTGGCCAGATAGGTTCCTGCTGAACCCTTCCGTTGCCAGATCAGCTGCCCAGGACCTTCAGGAGGGTAGTCCTGGGGCAGGCTGGAGACACAATGGGTGCCAGGGCAGTGGGTGGGTATGGCCTGTACCCGCAGTAGGAGGTACCTGGGCTATAGGGAGAATGTTGGCTGGGCCAGCTCCCTCTGCAGTCTGGTGGTCACCTTGTGTCCCCACCTCCTGCTAAAGTAGGTGGCTGTGCGCCCCTCCCCCACCACCCCACCAGTGCCCCTGACAGCCCGTCCCCTAGGCAGGTCCAGGCTGGAGGCTGCCTGCCACTCTGATCTGCTTCCGTAGTTCGTGGAGGGGCTCCCTCTTCTCTTCCCACCAAAGGTGCTGATAGGAAGCCTGAAGAACTAAATTTGTTCCTCTGGGTTTACCTGGGTCCACCTGATGGCTCTAGGGGTGGGCTGTGCTAGAACAGTGATGGTGACCATGAATTTTGTAGGGTGATCTGCCTTTAGGCAGGGGAAGAGGGCAGGCTTGAGCTGGTGGATAAGAAACAGCTCTTGGGTTTTTCCAGAATCACCCCACCTCCTGGATCCCCACCAGAGAAGAGCCCCAGCTTCCATTCTTCCCAGCAGATTGGAAATGGAAGAGTTTTTTGAAACCACCGCCCCCCTGTTTACTGGGCCTTCCCTGGTAGATGCAGGATGGCCCTCATAGCACTCTATGGGTGTGGGACCTGTGCCGTGGGACAGGACAGAAGGTGGAAGTTGTTGTTAAGGTCTGAGGCTGCAAAGAATAAGGAGGGTCTGTTCCAGAGGAGGGTCACAGCCAGCCCCGGGTTATTCCAGCTGTGCCTCTGTTTCTCTGCTATTGCAGGCCAGGCTGTACTGCTTCCTTCCTGAAAGGCTAATGCCCCTAACCCACAGGATCAAAGCCTGCCGTGTCACCACAGGAGGGTGGAAAACAGCTGTAGAGACCTGCCCCTTCCCGCTGTGAACCTGGCTTGCTCGACCCAGGCCAGTGGCTCACTTTAGAGCTCAGGCTGAGGCCTGGCAAGTTCTGAGCCCCACCCTGCACCCTAGTAGCCTCTTTCCCCTGGGGCTTCCCTGAGGCTGTGCTGAGGAGCTACACCCACCTTCCCACACTTACCAGCTAGATGGGTCTCTGCCCCACAACTGTTCCCAGGCTGCACTGGGCTTAGGAGTGGTCACATGTGAGCCCAGGCTTGGCAGGACTGTGGCTGGGAGCTGCTGCAGGTCTCTGGTAGAGCCTTCAGGGAGAGGGGCCCCCCTCCCCCCATCCTGAGAACTTTTTCTGAGGAAGCCCCCTGCAGGGGCTGCTCACAGCAGGACCTGGGAAAAGAGCTGGCCTCATCCGGCCTTCCCTGCATTGTCTCCCTGGAGTGGAGCCATGGGAGAGAGGAGCACTCTCCTCACAGACAGGGCTGTTTCCAGCTGTGACCTCATATGTGCTTGTATGTGAGTGTGCATGTAGCTGCAGCCCCTACTGTGATAATCGGTGCTCTCCAGGTTCTGCCAGAGCCCTGGCTGGTCTGGTGTGTCTGATTCCTGCACCCTCCTTTCTCTGGAGGATGCTCTAGTCAGGCCAGTGCATTGGGAGGAAGCAGCCTCTGTCCTCACGCACGTGTGAGTCCCAGGCTCTTCGGTGTGGGTTGACCAGCCTGCTCCACCTGCTGTGTCCGGCTGTGTGCCTACTGGAGGGCTGCTATTTCTGTGGGTTGAGGCAATGGTGAGGACAGGGGAGGGTTCTAAGACCTGTCGGGTCTACTGTCACTTACATGCCTGTCAGACCTAAGGCTGGTGCAGATGCCCCTGCCCCTAGCCAGAGGTAGACAGGGCAGCTAGACATCAGGCAAGGATGGGGCCCTGGGCCCTGCTTGGCCACTGCCATGTCCCTGTGCCCTGGGCAAGGGGTGAGCATACACTGGGCTAATGGGAGGGGAGGGGATGTGTGCTGTTGGCTGGGCAGTGAGACACAGTTGTGAGGAATTCTTGTCACCTCTGAGTCCACCCTGCTGGGCTCAGATGGATTTCCAGACGCTGTGGACATGGGAGGGAGCCACTGGGTCCCCTTTGAGCCCAACTCCCCAGCACCCTGCTTCCTCTGAGGCTCTGCCTCTGCCCCTCTTTTTCTCTGTCTTTCCTATTTATCCTAGCACCTACCTGGCCAGCACCTCCATACGGAGCCCCCTGGAACTTGGACCCTTGGTACTGGGTGGCATGACCCCTGTTGTGCCCACTCCTCTCCTGTGTCTGGTGCCTCTCTCCTTGCCCAGCATGGCTGGACTCTTGGCAGGGAACTAGGCTCTCCTGATTCAGCAGGCACTGACCAAACCAGCGTACTACCCTGGCTCCACCAGCATTCCCTTTTACCTGGAGATGGATTTTCCTGGCTAAACTGGGAGGGGAAGGACAGAGGGTATGGGTGGCTCCACCCTATCCCTACACCCCCTGGTGGTCATGGCAGATCCTCAAGCCAGGTGGAGCCCTCCAGATCCGAAAGCCTGAGAGTCTGCCCTGCAGGCTGTTGCCCTTGTCCCTGTCCCCCCAGGTCTCTGTGCTGGGCTAGCTGGAAGCTTCCTGAGCTTGCTCCCATCTTGGCTTTGGTAGTTGCCTTCTGATCTATGCAAGCCCCCTCCCCTTACTGGTCTGTGTGCCAGTGTCACCCCAGGAGGCCACATTTCCTGCCTGCTGCCCCCCATTCATTTGACATGTCACAATGTATCCTCCCCACAGCCTGTTGTGGACTCTGAGCCCTGCCCAGGGAGGTGCAGACAGACAGGAAGAGCCCTGGGTTAGGGGTGCTCAGCCAACTGAGTAGTGAGAGATGGAATGGAACAGTCAGCCCTGCTGTGCTGCTGCCCCAGATTTTCATTTAATCTTGCCACCTGCACAGCAAGCTGTCAGATAGGGGCCAGGTTGTTGGTGGGCACAGGTCTGATCTGTGGCTGGAGGATGACCTGGCTTCACCTGAGGCTGGAAGATGACCTGGGCCTACAACCTGAGACTGGCCAGAGAACCACCCAAAGCAGCCTCCATCTCAGAAGCTGGCTGTCACCCAGCAGTGACGTCCTGTCCTGAACTGCCCATTGTCTGCCAAGACTGAGGGGGAGGGGAGGGTACAGGCTGAGACCCAACATCAGTAGGCCATAGGATGGGGGACACTGTCCCACCTGTACAGGGCCAGCCACACCCGGGTGGTCTGGGCCAGAAAGAGGCGGTTTGTTGTACTTGATGCCAAGGCAGCTCCTTTCCCTACTGAGCAGGACACTCCAAGATCCTTATGGATGAGTGGGTCACCACAGGTTAGATGGCATGGTATGTCTGCAGGTGATGGCTGGGCAGGGCCCCTGGGGCAGGCAGTACTTGCACAGCACTAACCTGCAGGTAGTTTCACTACAAGGGTTTCCAACCACCCTACCCTCCCACACACCCTGCTTTCTGGAGGGTGGAGGAGTCATCTGCATGTGAATGAGGGATAGGTTGCTAGTGGGCTGAGCTCTCTGCTCCCTCTAGTTGCATTCTCCCGCCTCCCCAGCAGAGCCCTGGTGGTCACCCTGAGAACAGGGGGTGGGGTCACCCTCAGTGTATGCCTGAAGGTAGAGTGAAGTTGAGGATGCATGGTGACAGACATTCCATGCCACAGGCATTCAGCAAGTATACCCACGTGCTGGGAGAGTTGGGATGCCTGATGTGGCAGCTCTTAAATGCATGTTGCTGGCGATGTGAGCCTAGAGTCCAGGGGTCTGGTTCCTGGCTCAGAGTATCCAGTACGTTCTGGGGCATAAGCCTGCGTGGGCTGGTCAAGGCTGAATGATTTTGCCTGAAGATCCCAAAATAGCTGCTGTAGCCTGAGCTCCCCTCCCCACTGGGCCAGGGCTTCAATGGTTCTTTGTTTCTGGAAGGCATCCCGCCCCAACAGAGGCCTGGTAGGGTCAGGCTGTCTGTCTGGTTGCCCCCACACCCTGCCCAGAGCCCATTCCCAGTGTTAGTCTGGGCCAGGCCCACACCCCCATGAGAACATCCAGAAGGCTGTCTGTTGGGACTCCTTCCATGGCAGATCCCAGGGTCTCTGCTAAGAGGGTCTCTGCTAAGGGGAACAAACATCCCAGGCAGCATTCTACACCTCCCTGGCTGCCACCCTTTCCTGGGGGCTGTCACTGCCACTCAGACCCACCCCCGACACCATTTCCCAGACTCCTGCAGAGCTCACCCAGGACACGCGGGCTGCAGGTGATAGCAGCCCACAGCAGTGTGTGGGTGTGCGGCCTGCTGAGCATTGCCAGGACTTGGTCCCTGGCACTTTATCCAGCAGTAAGAGGCAAATGGAAAAATGTTCAGGGAGTTCTTCTGGGCTCCCCATACCAGGTTCTTCCTCTGCACTCTAGGCCTACCTCTGCCCTGAAAGATAAAAACTCAGACCCTGCCCTGGGCACCGCATGCCAGGACACTATCAGTGTGCCTCAGGCAGTGCCAAGGTCCAGTGGGGGTGGTTGGGTGACAGGGGCTCCCTGAGGGGAGAGTGAGGCTGGGCCAAGGTCTCCAGGTGGCTTGTGGCGGGCCCAAATTCAAACCCCCTGCAAGGTTTCACTTAAATGAGGCATGGGGGCCACAAGATGAGAGGACCCCAAACACAGCCCACCTTGGATAGTTCAACTCTTGGCCTGTGGTGGGATGGGCTCAACTCTCATGTGGGAGTGGCACATCTCACCTGGGTTCCCCAGCCAAGGTGGGATGGGTGAGGGTTAGGGGCAGCTGGGGTGGAGGAGTTGCCTGGGCAGGTTGGGGGCAGCCTATGGGATGGAGGGACCTTGGGAGGGTCAGCTGGAGGCCATGGGGGTGTTTGTGGCCGGTGTGTAGGGCCCTGGGTCCCAGAGACTTGGCTAGTGATTCTAGTAATTCTAGGAACAGAGTGTAGTAGTGCTTCCTTCCCAGAGCAGACTGAAAAGATGCCAGGGAGTGACAGGTGAACACGTGCACCTGGTAGGGCTGTGTGACTGCAGCTGGGCTGAGCGCTCTGCGTGCTGTCTGGAGGAGTCCTGGAAGAGTAACCTGGCCTAAAGGAGAAGAGAACCCATATGTAGGGAGGACATGCCATTCCTGGGCAGGAGAGGCACAGAGGAGCAGGGCCAGTGGGAGGTGTGGTGGCACTGAGGTTTCTAAAGGACTACAGGTAAGCGGGATGTGTTGACATAATCCTGTCATTCCAGCACTCTGAGGCTGAGGCAGGAGGATCACAAGATCCAGCCCAGCCTGTGCAATTTAGTAATTTAGTTAGATCCTGTCTCGAAATAAATGAGTTAGGGATTATGGTATAGTTTAGTGTGAAAGCCCTAGGTTCACTTATCAGTACTGCGGGAGGGGGAACTGCAAAGAGAAAAAGACTGCAGGTAGTGAAGGTGGGGTGTTGCTGGTGTTGGCTGTAGAGATGATCACGTGGTGACGCCGGCCATGGAGGGTGGACGTGGGGATGGTGGAGGCAGAATGGGATACCCAAGGTTGCAGGGAGCTGGATCCAGGCAGGGCCAGGCAAAGGGAGATCTCACCCAGGCTTGAAGCTGGCCCCCAGGGGTGTGGCGACTCTTGAGTTCCCAGGGTGGCCTCCTGGGGGCGTGCCACGCCCATGGGACCTCAGTGGGAGTTCTGGCAGTTATTTGCATGTGACTCAATTGCATGTTTGCTCACCTCTGGAAGGCAGCAGAGGGTGCACTGGTAGTTTTGAGTGTTGGGGGAGGCGGGCGAGGCAGTTTCTGGACCTATCACCTTGCCTGCACTCGACAGCTTGTACTATACCTACTTGGCCCTTGGATCCCCACCTGGGACTACAGCAAGCAGCAGCAGAAATACAATGACAAATGCAGACATACAGAACCCCAAAACCCGGTCCTTTGTGCAGACCTGAGCCCCTATGGTGACTCAGAAGCCTCAGCCCCACCCGGCCCTAGCCCAGCTGCAGGATGAGGTGAAGATCCCCGGCCTAGCCCACGCGCAGCCCCGCCACCGGCCCAGTATCTGCAGCCCTCTAGCTCAGCATGGCTTGGGACCCAGACCCCAGCACCTACACCCAGCCCCTTGCCCCTCCCAACGCTGTCCCTTTTGTGTCACTTGGTCTTCGGCCTCTCCCTCTCCTGCTCGTCCTTTCTTTGCGCTCTGAACTCGACTCCCAGCGGGCGTCGGGGTCCCCTGAGGCGCCTTCCTTTGTCTATGCTCCCCGCCTGCCTCTCCACTCCGGCCCCTCACTCACCGGCCTGGGGAGGGCGAGGAGCTGCTTCGGGGCGGGGTGCCTCTGCTGCCGCCTTTCTTCTCCGCGCGCCGCACCGCCCGCGCTCCACCGCGCTCCCGTTTGCCAGGCGCGCGCCGCCAGGCCCTGCTCCCGAGTCCCGCCGCTGCTCCAGCGCCAAGCTCTGTCCGGGGTGGGGAAGGAGCCAGCTGGTGTCGGCTGGCCGGGGTGGCACAGCCCTGCGTCCTCCTCCGTCTGTCTCCGAGCCCACCTTGGGGATTTCTACCCGCGGACAATTCTGCACACCTCCGGGGATGCGAGTGGAGGGCTGGAGAGGGCCTGGAGCCTCCCAGGCTGGGGCTGGGGTGGAACTTTGAGAGTGGCGCTGCCCCAGGACCCAGTATGGGTGGAGTAGCCCTATTGAGGACTAAGGGCGCTCCGTGAGGACCCACACAGCAGAGCAGGCAGAGCCGGGCCATGCCACCACTGCTGCTGGAGCGCCGACCCGGGCCGCAGCCGGGTGTCTCCGTGCTGGTGCGGTACTTCATGATCCCTTGCAATGCCTGCCTCATCCTGCTGGCCACCTCCGTGCTGGGCTTCGCTGTGCTGCTCTTCCTCAGCAACTGTACGTGGCTGCTGGGTGTGGCTGTGTGGGTGTGGCCCAGGGGCTCTGCTTTTGCTGGCCAAGCCCTGCTTCTCAGCTGTCGAGGTTTCCAGGGTAGGCAGCTCACGGCAAGGTCAGGGTCCTTGATGGCTCGTATAGGATGGGCCATTTCTGGGGCTCTTTTGGGCCCCTCAAAGGGCTGAGCTGAGCCTCATCCTGCTGGGCAGAAACAACTTACTGCAGTTCTGCGTATCTTATTGGTGTCCGAACCAGAAAGGGGGTGGTGCAGAGACAGGGCCTGGGGCTGGATTCCTCTGGGGAAGCAGGTGGCTGCTTGACTCCTGCTGCACGCAAACAGGTGCCAGGCCAGGACCATGCCACTTGAAGGGCAAAGGCGCATGGGCTACTGTCTTCATCATCCAAGGCCTCTGCCAGTCTGTGGGGATTGGGGCTAGGCACCTCAGCTTTCCAGCCTGGATCTCTGGGAAAGGGGTAGGGTGGGCAGAAGAGTGGGACGAGGAGACTGCAGGCTGTCTGACTTGAGATTATCTTTTCCAGACAAACTTGGGACCCACTTCACGCCAGCCCCTCTGATGCCTCCTGATGGTGAGTGGGGGCACCCAGTGGGCAGGGCCCCTTGGGATTGGGCTGTGCTGCTGTGTGGTGCTCTAGGGGTGTCTGAAGAGTCCACAGGGCGGGCAGTGCCAGGGCCTCTGTCTCAGCCTCTGGCCAGTGCACACGAGCAAGGGCCCTAACTCCTGTGGGCCTCAGCCTCCATAATGGGAAAAGTCTTGACACCCACAGTGGTGAGGTGATGTTGGACAGTGGCTGTGAGGTGCAGGGGCAGTGGGGTCAGGGTTTGGCCATGGTGGGGGCTTCTTCTCTTTTGTCGTCCTTGTCTTGGATCAGGAAGAGGTGGGGCTGGACAGCAGCTGGAAACAGCACAGAAGAAAGACTGGTGGGGGCAGGGCAGGGCAGGGAAGGGCTCAGCTGGACCAGAGACAGCTGTCTGAGGAGGGCCTTCTGGACCTGGGTCTGTGCAGGCTGGAGTGGGGAGGGTGAAAGTAATGGCTGGAGCAGGTTGGCCTTTGTGACTGCTTTGTGGCATGTGGTTAAGCCTCCCAGTGAGGTGCTGGTGTGTGGGCCTGTGTAATTATGCTAATGTCAGGGACAGGAAGCTGGTGCTGCAGGCTCAGAGGACAAGGGCCTCACAGCCCCTCACCCAGCCTGGTCCTTCAGCAGGGAGCAGGAGCTCCAGGTTCATTCTGTTTCCACCCAAGCTCTGAGTCCTGTGGAAAGGGTACCTGTCCAGGTCCACAGACGTGCAAGTCCAGAGCTGTCTGCATATAGGGCAGAGCTGTGGCTTTGTCCTGACCAAGACATGGATAGGGAGAAAATGGAAGAATGCTGTTGTAGTGACTGTGAGTCTCTGGGAATAGAGCCCTGGGTTCTCCCAGAATGCACCCCTAGCTTCCATAGTCCGTGTCACTTCCTGGCTCTTGGCAGTGTGTGTCAGGGTGGCTAGAGGATGTGGCATGGCCCTCATCAGGCTGCTCCCATGAGACCATGAAGGCCTCAGCATGCCAAGCCCCACCTGGAATGTGGGGAGGGGAGCCTGTGATAGGGGTTGCTTTCCCCTTTCCTGAGATACAAGAGCCCTTTGGGTCAAGGGAGCATGTCACCACTGTGTAATACGTGGTTTGAGGAATTTGCAAGAGCTACAGGAACCAGTGGCTGGCAGAGTATGTGACTAAATGGGCAGCCAGCTTGTCTTAGACTGCTGTCCCTCTCCTGGATTTGGGGACAGGAGGGCATGGCCCAGAACAGCCAGTACTTCTTTTTGAGATAGGGTCATGCTATGTAGTTCAGGTTGGCCTTGAATTTGCAGCAATCCTCCTGCTTCAACCTCCCAGGTGCTGGAATTACAGGCATGCACCAACATGCCCAGCAGTCCTCACATTTTACAGGAAGGGCCAAGCTCACCCACTGGTACAGGCTGTGAGACCAGTCTGGGCTGGGGCTTGGCTGGGGCCTGGGGCTGGGTACTGAGTGTCCATAGCCCTTGGGCAGAAGGCATGGCACTGGCTTGGCTGAGATGGGAGGACACTACCCCCTCTCAACATCCTCAGTCTCTTGGTGGAGCATCCCTCTCCCCTGACAGTCTGCCCTCCCCCAGCTGCACACATCGCTCCCTTGCCTACACCCAGCCGGCTTTTGCCTGCTGATGGACACTGGCCATGGCCATCACTGTACACAGAGGCCCTCATACCTTGACACAAGTAGGGTTTGGGGCATCTATTCCATCCCCCAAGCCCGAGACCAGGAGGAAAGTTAAATATACCCACTGCAAACGGTGGCTATAAAAAGCTGATGCCGCCTCCGATGCTGCAAAGAATTCAGGCCCAGCGGAAGCGGTCGTGCAGAGCTGATCAGGCAGGCATGGCAGGGCCCCAGAGGTGACACACTGGAGGTCCAGGGCTGAAAGGTACCCCGGAGCCACCTGCATTTATGAGCGGGGGTATTGGCAAAGACCAGGTGCACGGGAGATGGCTAAGGCCAGCTGTGCTATTCACTAGCTGTGTGACTTTGTGTGAGGGCCTCCCTCTTCTGCCCAGTGCACTTGAGGAAGGCATCAGACTCGTGCAGGGTGTTGCTGCCATGACAGGCTCTGTGTTGCCTGTGTGTAGTGCCTGTGTACACCGTCTGTAGGTGGTTTCTGCCTATGCCTGTCCTTATGTTCAATTGAGAAACTTATGTTGAGCTTCTGTGACCTTCTAGTCCCTAGGGAAAGGAGGCAGTTCACAGCCATCGTGAAGGCTCCAGGTACACAGGAAGGAGCAGCTCCTCACCAAGCCTAATGACCTGAGCATGGGAGAAAGTGAGGGGTTCTGTGGGTGGTTAACAATGTGCACCCAGGTGCAGCAGTCCCTGGCTTTGAGGTCAGGCCTTGGGAGAGGTCTGGCGGGCCCAGGGCGACCAGGTAGAGAGACAACTGAGCCTACAGCCCAGGCGTAACAGCAGGCAGATGAGCCTGGGTGTAGCGAGGCCATAGTCCACGATCCTTGGGGAGACTTCAACAGGTGCAGCCAAAGCCCAAGAGCATCCACAAGTGTTTACTGCTTTGGCTTGGGGGCAGAGGGTTGAGTCACAGAGGGGTCCCACGGGAGAGAGGAAGATGACAGCCAGTCATGAAGAGGGTCTACAGGCAGACATGGTTTGAGTTTGGTTTGAGCCAGAGCAAAACAAAGGCCTATGGTGATGGCCTATCGCTATATTGTAGCACACGCTCCAAATAGTGCTTGGGCTGGGTACCCTGTACTTTACCATCTAACCTTACAGTCCCAAGAGATGAGTCCTGTTGTCTCCATTCACAGACAGAGATGCTGAGGCACAGTGAGGGACAGCATGCCCCCAGGATCTGAGGGGGCATAGTGAGTGGGGGACGGGAACATGGTAGCGTAGAAAAGGTGGGCCAGGTTTCCACTCAGCCTTCTGGGATTTAGGCCAAAATGCCCTACAGGCCAACAGGAGCCTGGGGTGGGCTGCTGTCATGGCAACAGCTGGCTGCAGCCTCCAGTGCACCCCACTCTTCAGGAGAGGGGTTTCATTCTGCTTCATTTCCTGAGTTTGCTGGGAGGGAAGGGGAGGGGAGGCTGCGGTCCTGTGCCTTAGTAATGGTAATTGGATCCATTAAATGTTCCTTAGCTCCAGGCAGCTGCAGCCCCACCCGTGGGTGTGCATGAACCTGGGTAGGGCCTGGGAGCCAGCCTACCTTCAACCCCAGGGCTGTGCCCAGGGATATCCTGGGCTCTGTCCTGAATGACGCTGAGTTTGTTTGTTTATTTTTTTGAGGCAGGGTCTGGTTGTGCAGTTCCGGCTGGTCTCGAACTCACAGCCACTCTCCTGCCTCAGCCTCCTGAGTGCTGGGGTTACAAGCGTATGCCCCCTTGTCCGGCTATGAGTCTGGGTTTAAGTATCTCTGTGTGGGCCCAAGGACTGGCCCCTCCTGCTACTGTGCGGGCCTGTGATTGGGTCTGCTCTGCAGCGTGAAGAACTAGGACGTTAGGAAATAAAGTGACTGTGTGGGATGAGATGGAGGCTCAGGAAGACACTGAGGGAGTTGCCCATGTGATCTCAGGGAGAGATGCTACCAACAGCCTGAGACTAGGGAGGCATGGGAGGCACAGATAGGGCTGTGGGGCTGGGGAAGATAAGGGGTGCTCAGAGAGTACAGTTTGGTGGAGAAGAGCACAGTGCAGGGCAAGAGGGAGAGCGAATGATTCAGGAAGAACTGGGCCCCTGGGGCCTAGCAGACGTGGCAGAGGATGGAGGAGGGTTAGGGTTAGGGTGGTGTGGAGACAGGTGTGGTGGACCTGGCTGCTTCCGAGAAGGGGCCCCAGAAGCTGGTGACCTGGGTTTGGGGTAGTCAGGTGAGGGCTCTGATATTGATAGAGGAGAGGACTCCTGAGCAGCACAGGGACATAGACTCCTTACAGTCAAGGTGCCCACGGGCACCTCTTGCCGTACTGGGGATTCCCTAAGGACCCTGCCCTTTTGTGAGGACACAGACATGCTCTCTGCAGTTGTAGGGTACAGGTGGGTGATGGGAGCAGGTCCTCCTGGAAGGAAAGGTCTTGGAGCTGGTGGGAACCTTGTGAGCATGTATGCAAGCCAGTCAGATGCTGTGCTGGTGGGGTGGGAATTCACACAGGCCCTGCTCTGACCACTTCTCCTGGCCAACTGCAGCGTGCAGGGGAGTGCTGTGTGGCTTTGGGGCCGTGTGTGAGCCTAGCATAGAAGATCCAGGCCGGGCCTCCTGCGTGTGCAAGAAGAGTGCCTGCCCAGCTGTGGTGGCACCTGTGTGTGGTTCAGACGCTTCCACCTACAGCAGCGAGTGTGAGCTACAGCGTGCACAGTGCGTCCTGCAAAGGCGTATCCGTCTGCTTCGCCGTGGGCCCTGTGGTGAGTGTATACATGTGTGTGTGTTCATATGTGAATGCTCATGCATGCATGCATGCATGTGTGCTCTCTCTTGGGGGGTGTGTGTTAGCCCATGCTACCACCCACAGGGTCCAGGGACCCCTGCATCAATGTGACCTGCAGCTTCGGCAGTACCTGTGCCCGCTCACCTGATGGGCAGACAGCCACATGCCTGTGCCCAGTGACCTGCCACGGGGCCCCAGAGGGCACTGTGTGTGGCAGTGATGGCGCCAATTACCCTGGTGAGTGCCAGCTGCTGCGCCACGCTTGTACACGCCAGGAAAACATCTCCAAGAAGTTTGACGGCCCCTGTGGTGAGTGCAGCCCACTGTCCCTGCGTATGCCACTTCTCTTGTGCATTCGTGTGTGAACGTGGTGACAGACCTGCCTTGGCCCTCCCACCCCAGACCCGTGCCAGGGAGCCCTCGCTGACTTGAGCTACATCTGTCGTGTCAACCCACGCACACGGCGCCCAGAGATGCTTCTGCGGCCAGACAGCTGCCCTTCCCGGCGCTCCCCTGTGTGCGGGGATGACGGGGTCACTTATGAGAATGACTGCATCATGGGCCGTGCGGGGGCCGTCCGCGGCCTGCTCCTCCAGAAAGTGCGCTCTGGCCAGTGTCAGCCTCGAGGTGCGTGGCTCCCAATCCCGTGCCATGTGTGACTGCCCACCCCTACACACCATATCCACACCACTACCTGTGTGCCCACGGGTTCCCTCTGGTTCTGGCATAGGGCCGATGCTCAGGTTTCTCTGATCCCATTGGGTCCCCACAGATCAGTGCCCTGAGGCTTGCCAGTTCAATGCCGTGTGCCTGTCTCGCCGTGGCCGTCCCCGCTGCTCCTGTGACCGTGTCACCTGTGATGGGGCCTACAAGCCCGTGTGCGCCCAGGACGGGCACACATATGACAGTGATTGTTGGCGCCAGCAGGCTGAGTGTCGGCAGCAGCGTGCTATACCCCCCAAGCACCAGGGCCTGTGTGGTGAGCACCCTGGGGCCAGGCCTGAGCCACTGGTCCCATGTTGAACCACCCTTGCCTGACATCACACACCATCTTCATCCCTCATCTTACACCTCCTGGGTTCTGGGCCAGGGCGGTTGCTCTGGGTGAGGGGAGGCTGTGACGGTGCCTGGGACCTCTGGGACAAATGCAGGCCTGCACTTGCCCATGCTGGTCACTGTAAGCCCACTGGTCCCCCTCTCCATCAGTCTGTACTACACAAGGGCACAGACAGCCTGGGTGGGCAGGAGTGGACGTGACAATGGGCTTCCCATGTGCCTGGGACACACAGCTACCAGCTCCCTTAGCCAGCATCTCCATTGGGATCTGAGGGGGCCAGTGGAGGGCAGAGGCAGCCCGGCAGTGGTAGGCGTGTCCTGTGCGGGCCAAGACTGCTATGGCCCTGCCTGCCTCTGTCTGACTTGGTCAGTGCTCTGTCCATCTTTCTGGTCTCTCTTTCTGCGTCTGTCTTCTCCGGTCCTTCCCTCTCGGCTCCGCCTCTTGTGTCTTCCAGCCTGACCTGCTGGTAGGATGAGGTGCCGCGCCTGCCCGCCAGGAGCCCACAGCCTGAGGTCTGCCCCCGGCATGGCTGGGGGGGGTGGCTCGCTGCTGCCTGGCCTTGTAGTCCTCAGAGCAAGTGGACAGATACCTCCTCCCCCATGAAGCCCTGGGCGTGACTGGGGTGCAGACTCCTCCCACCTATGGAGAGAGAGCCCCTCCTGTGCATGGGTGTCCTGGGGCTGCTAGTGGTCAGGGGTCAGTGCCCTGCTGTGGGTAGTCAGGAGGCTCCTGTGTCCCCATCCACCTCTGTCTTGTCTGTCCCTTTCTCTGCTGTGTCCTGTGCATCTGGCTCTTCCTCCACCATCCCCACCCTGGGAGAGGGATGCTGGGTGGAGCTGGGGGCTTTGCCCACAGTGGGGTGGGGGCAGGTGGGCTGAGTGCCGTGTCCTTCCCCAGCCCAGGCCCCATCTCCGTGCCATGAGGTGCAGTGTGCGTTCGGGGCGACATGTGCTGTAAAGAATGGGAAAGCTGTATGTGAGTGCCAACAGGTGTGCACAGGCATCTATGACCCCGTGTGTGGCAGTGATGGCATCACGTATGGCAGCGTGTGCGAGCTGGAGGCCATGGCCTGTGCCCTGGCGCAGGAGATCCGGGTGGCCCGCCGAGGACCCTGTGGTCAGTGGTGGGCAAGTGGATCTGGTGGGTAGGATAAGGTTTCTCGCCAGCATGGTGATTGAGCCCCCTCCGCAGACCAGTGTGGGCAGTGCCGTTTTGGAGCCCTGTGTGAGGCTGAGACCGGGCGCTGTGTGTGCCCCTCTGAGTGTGTGGCCTCAGCCCAGCCTGTGTGTGGTTCTGATGGATACACATATGCCAACGAATGTGAGCTACATGTCCACGCCTGTACTCAGCAGATCAACCTGCATGTGGTCTCGGCTGGACCCTGCCGTAAGTGGGGCCATAGGGGCCTGGTGGGCCAGGGTCCCAGGACTCTCCAGCCAAGCTCTGCTGAGCCCTGCCTGGCTCTGTCTCTACAGAGACGTGTGGGGACACAGTGTGTGCCTTTGGGGCAGTGTGCTCAGCTGGGAAGTGTGTGTGTCCTCGCTGTGAGCACCCCCCACCAGGCCCTGTGTGCGGCAGCGATGGTGTCACCTACCCCAGTGCATGTGAGCTGCTGGAAGCTGCCTGCCGGCAGCAGATACAAATCAAGGAGGCCCGGGCAGGGCCCTGTGAGCAAGGTAGGCTTGGGGGCAGCTAGTGTGAGCTGCTGCTGGGCACCAGGCTCCAAGAAGGAGTCCGTGAGTGACTTGGTCTTCTTTTTCATAGCTGAATGCGGCTCAGGAGGCTCTGGCTCTGGGGAGGAAAGCGAGTGTGAGCGCGACCTGTGCCAGCAGCGTGGTGGCATCTGGGATGAGGACTCAGAGGATGGGCCATGTGTCTGTGACTTCAGCTGCCAGAGTGTCCTGAGGAGCCCAGTGAGTACCCCCACACCAAGCTCTAAGTGGGCAGTGAGGAAAGTGCTGAGGCTGCCACACTGACCCCCACCCCCTCCAGGTGTGCGGCTCAGATGGAGTTACCTATGGCACTGAGTGTGACCTGAAGAAAGCTAGGTGTGAATCACAACGAGAACTGTATGTCGCAGCTCAGGGAGCCTGCCGCAGTGAGTGGGCCCTGCACGGGGAGCGCCTGGGCACGTGGGGATATGTGCTTGTGCATTTGTGTAGTGGCCTGTGTGTGTGTGAGTGTGAATGTATGCTCTCCTGGGCTTGTGGACACGTGTTCTGTTAACTTTGCACCTTTGGTGCATTCCGCATTGTACAATTGTACTGTATCTATTGGCAAGTGTGCAACAAGTGTTAACATGTGCCAGGCCAGCCTCAGTGGAGACAGCCAGGAACATAGGCAGGGCATCCTTTGGGTAGTTGTCAGGGTGGAGAACGACAGTGATCTGGTACAGGCGTTTATATCTGTTATTGGTTTGTGTGTAGTCTTCATGAATGTGCTTGTGCATGTACCCAGATGCATGCCTGCACAGGTGTATATAAGTGTGTGTGGTTTAGGAGGTTCGTGCATGAATGTGCATATGCCATGTGCAATCAAAGTATATAGTGAATATTTACATTTTAAAACTGTGTTACAATAGAAGACACATTGTCATGAACCCCCCTCAGAATACTCCTCCTTGCTTGGAACACACTTATCCTACTCTTGCCACTTTCTGAAGCAGTTTTGGACATCCTCCTTTGTGAAAGATCTTTGTAAGGTGTGATTAAAAATATGGTGAATTGTGCTGCCAAGTGCTATCTACTGGAAAGCCAGGCTTGTAAAAACATGAGTGTGTCCTCATTTACCTCATAGATCTGGCCCAGTGGGATTTCTGGTTCTTCCCCAAAGTCAAATGACTATGAAAGGTAAACGTTTCGAATCAATTCAGAACATTGAGGCATCCAGGACAGCACAGCTAAAGATAACTTACAAAAGAAGACTTCCAGAACTGCTTCACAAAGTGGCCAGAACAGTGGGATAAGATTATTTGAAGCAAAGGAGAGTACTTTGAGGGAAATTAATGGCAGTGTGTCTTACTGTAATAATTTTTTTAGAAAACGTTCACTGTATTTTTCTGTCACATCTCATACATACATCTCCACATATATGTGTGCTAGTTTACAAAGACAGGTTTGTGTGTATATGTGTGTGTGTGTATATGTGTGGCTTTAGTTGTATATATTTGGGTCTGTGTGTCTGTGATTTTGTATTATTCTATGTGAAAGTGGTCCCTGTGTTTTTGGTGTGTTCTGGATCCTACATTCACAAATACGCCCTTGTATTTGATGTGGTAACCCCAGCTCAGATCCCCGGGCCCTAGTGGGGTTGAGGTCAAGAGAGCTGAGTAGTGGTAGTGTGGGGAGGTTGAGGCAGAGTGGCCAGGCCCAGGGTGTATGGCTAGCACTGCATAAAGTGTGAACCTTGTGCCTTCCCACAGGTCCCACGTTGGCACCGCTGCCACCTGTTGTTCTCCCACACTGTGCCCAGACCCCCTATGGCTGCTGCCAGGATAATGTCACTGCTGCTCGGGGTGTGGGCCTGGCTGGCTGCCCCAGTGAGTGCCAAGCTAGCCCTGAGCCCTGGCCTGGTGGAGCTATGCGGTCACTGTGACCTGTACTCCCTCTCCTTGCAGGCACCTGCCAGTGCAACCCACATGGCTCCTACAGTGGCACCTGTGACCCAGCCACAGGGCAGTGTTCCTGCCGACCAGGCGTGGGGGGCCTGAAGTGTGACCGCTGTGAGCCTGGCTTCTGGAACTTCCGTGGCATTGTAACTGACAACCTGAGTGGCTGCACTCGTGAGTGACAGCCCCCGCTGGCCTGGCCTCCACCTACCAGGGCTCTGAAGCAGGTGGGAAACCTGCACAGATGCAGACATCAGGCTCTTCCCTCTCTCCCAGCCTGCAGCTGTGACCCCCGGGGTGCTGTACGGGACGACTGTGAGCAGATGACTGGACTGTGCTCCTGCAAGCCAGGCGTGGCTGGGCCCAAGTGTGGGCAGTGTCCAGATGGACAAGTCCTGGGCCCTGGTGGTTGTGAAGCAGGTGAGGGCAAAGGCCAATGGTGACATGGGGCTCCCTGTGTGGGGGACAACTTGAGCTGGGGGTCTCCTGTGTCTGCCCCAGGCTCCTTGGTCCCCAAGACCTGTGTGGAGATGCACTGTGAGTTTGGAGCCTCCTGCATGGAGGAAGCTGGTTCTGCCCGCTGTGTCTGTCCAGCCCTCACATGCCCAGAGGCCAATGCCACTAAGGTGAGGTCAGAGCATGTGGAGGGCGGTTGGGTCAGGGAGGACTTGCCTGAGCATTCCCATCCTGTGCCTCAGGTCTGTGGGTCAGATGGCATCACATACGGCAACGAGTGCCAGCTGAAGACCATCGCCTGCCGCCAGGGCCTGAACATCTCCACCCAGAGTCTTGGCCCATGCCAGGGTACAGCCCATGAGCCACCATCCAGAACTGACTAGGAAGGGCTCCCTGCCCTGACTCCAGGCCCTAACTGCCCTCTCCTTGCAGACACCATTGCTCTTGGCACACACCCGATGTCTGCCTCTGTGACCCCCCTGGAGCATGTTCTGAGTGAGGCACTGCCGTCCCCCCCCAGTGCCCTTCCCCTGGTACCCAGCAGCGTCCCCCACAGCCAGGCTACTCCTCCACCGTCATCACAACTTCGGACAACATCTAGCTTCCCCAGGCCCACGGCAAGACCTGTGCTAACCGTGCCTCCCATGACAGCCTCCACGGCCACGAGCCTCGCCACATTGGCCTTCGGTGAATCGGGCAGCGCCGACGGGAGTGCTGACGAGGAGCTCAGCGGGGACCAGGAGGCCAGTGGGGGAGGCTCTGGGGGTAAGCAGGGCTTGGGGACCTGGCAGCCAGTGTGGAGTGAGCAGGAGTTTAGGGTCCTAAGGGCAAGTCAAGGGCAAGCAGGGATGAGTCCAGAAACTGGGGCAGAGCCCAGAGAAGCTACTACCTGGGGCTGAGCTCAGATACTACCTCTCCAGGACTTGAGCTCCCCATGGGCAGCAGCATGGTGACCCCTGGGGCACCCATTGAGAGGGCTTCCTGCTACAACTCCCCTTTGGGCTGCTGTTCAGATGGCAAGACCCCCTCGCTGGATGCCGAGAGCTCCAACTGCCCTGGTAAGTGGGCAGTGGGGGCAGGACAAAGCTTGAGGAACAGCGTGGACACACTAGCTGCTGTCCCCACCCTACCCCCTGGCAGCAGGTCGGTACTGGGTTTGTAGTCTTGTGGCTTCGGCACATGCGTGTGGGGATTCAGCACACACATGTACACGTGTGGTCTAAGCCCCCAAGCACATGTGCGTGCCAGGACCCTTGCCTAACCATCTCTCTTCTTGCAAGCCAACCTGGGGCACCTACTCCGAGGAGTCCACCTGGTAACTGACGCCAGCCTTGCCCTGGGGTCCCCACTAACCTCATGACCATCTGACTAACATCCACCTGCCCCCGTGCCCCAAGTGGCTTGCCGTGGGTACCTGTGCCATGGCTGGCCCAGGACAGGTGGGGATGCCAGGCAGGGCCTCACTGCCCCTCCCCCACAGCCACCAAGGCGTTCCAGGGCGTGTTGGAGCTGGAGGGGGTCGAGGGGCAGGAGTTGTTCTACACGCCCGAGATGGCTGACCCAAAGTCGGAGCTGTTTGGGGAAACTGCCCGGAGCATCGAGAGCTCAGTGAGTGTGAGGCAGCTCCTCGGACAGAACTGCGGGAGTCCCAGGGCAGGTACCGGATGGCCCAGGGCCAGTTCCCATTTGGGTGATGCCCCATGTCCCCACCCTTTCCCTCCTGGCAGCTGGATGACCTGTTCCGAAACTCAGATGTCAAGAAGGACTTCCGGAGTGTTCGCCTGCGGGACCTGGGGCCTGGCAGATTGGTCCGAGCGATTGTAGATGTGCACTTTGACCCCAGTGAGTCCACCAGCCCAGGTCCCTCCCAAGAGATGATGGGTATGGGCCACAGGGGCCAGGCCATGCTCAGTGTCCCCTCTGCCTCAGCCACAGCCTTCAGGGCTCCCGATGTGGGCCGGGCCCTCCTCCGGCAGATCCAGGCATCCAGGCGCCGGGCCCTGGTGGTGAGGAGGCCTCTGCAGGAACACATACGATTCATGGACTTCGGTGAGCACTCTGAGAGCAAGGATGGGTTGGTCCCCTTTCCCTGTGCCCTGCCCCTGCAGGCCCTGACAGCTACCTACCCCACAGACTGGTTTCCAGCCTTCTTCACCGGAGCCGCCACGGGAGCCACGGCTGCAGTGGCCACGGCCAGAGCCACCACTGCAGGACAACCACGCTCCTCTGCTGTAACCCCTCGGGCCTACCCCAGTCACACCAGCCGACCTACTGGCAAGACCACAGCACCCCCCACCACACACCGACCACCCACCACGGCCCCCAGCCGCATGGCAGGACATTGGCCCATTCCCCCAGTGCCCCAGCAGCCTCTGAGGCCCTGTGCCTCCCAGCCCTGCCTCCACGGGGGCACCTGCCAGGACCAGGACTCTGGCCAAAGCTTCACTTGCAGCTGCCCAGTGGGCAGGGGTGGTACCATCTGCGAGGAGGGTGAGAGTGGGCAGCACAGGGGACAGGCACAGAGTTAGCAGGGGCACCTGGGCTGTGGAGCCACTGGGTGCCCTCTTTAGCTGGCTTCCTCACCCCCTACAGTGCTGCGCCCCTCCGTGCCTGCCTTCAAGGGCCAATCCTTCCTGGCCTTTCCCACCCTCCGCGCCTACCACACACTGCGCCTGGCACTGGAATTCCGGACTCTGGAGCTGCAGGGGCTGCTGCTCTACAATGGCAACAATCACGGCAAAGACTTCCTGGCACTGACTCTACAGGGTGGGCGGGTGCAGCTCAGGTGGGCTGGGTGGGGGTCCACCAGCTCATGGGGGTGGGGACAGGGTGAGCGGAGCCGTGGTGTGGGTGGGATCTGTTAGCTCTAAGGCATAGGTAGGGCAGGGTGGGCTAGGCAGGGTCTTCTATAGTTTGGAGGGCAGAGCCAGGGTGTGGGTGAGGCTGCATTTTGGAGGGGCTGCATATCACTTGCATTTTGGAGGGGCGGGGCCAGGCCAGTCCTGGTGAAGCTGCGTGGGAAACTGGTATGATCAGCCAGATCATCTCCTGAGTCGCTGCTCCTGTCCTAGGTTTGACACAGGTTCTGGGCCAGCAGTGCTGACCAGCTCTATGCCTGTGGAGCTGGGCCGGTGGCACCGCCTAGAACTGTCAAGACATTGGCGCCAGGGCACACTCTCTGTGGATGGTGAGAGCCCTGTCGTGGGCGAGAGCCCCAGTGGCACAGACGGCCTTAACCTGGACACAGACCTTTTCGTGGGTGGCGTCCCAGAGGACCAGGCTGCTGTGTGAGCAGGAGTAGGATGGAGTGGTGCTGAGGGACCCAGGCCCCAACGTTGACCTTGACCTCCACCTCCACGCTGACCTCTGACTCTGTGGCCCATGCTACCGTGTGCATGCTAACTGGGTGTGGAGGGTGGCTATGATCCTGACCTCAACCCCAGGCCATGACCTGTGCTGCCCCTGTCCTGTTTGTGATGGCATTCCAGTTCTGCTGACTGTGATCTTCAGTGCTGACCTTTAACCCTCAATCTCAGCTTCTGACTTTGTTGTTTATGGGAATAGCTATCTTGTGAGCATCTGGAATTAGGGGGTGGCCCTGCCCCCAGCTCATGGGACACCCCCCAGGTTTGCAATGGGCTGCAAGAGAGGGCACCTCTGGCCTCTGCCTCTGACCCCTGATCTTATTCTCATGCCAGGGTGCTGGAGCGGACCTCTGTTGGGGTTGGCCTGAGGGGCTGCATCCGCTTGCTGGACATCAACAACCAGCGGATGGAGCTGGGCAGCTGGCAGGGAGCTGTGGCTCAGAGCTCTGGTGTGAGCGAGTGTGGGGATGACCCCTGCATGCCCAACCCCTGTAGCAGTGGAGTGCCATGCCAGGCGCTCGAAGCTGGCATGTTCCACTGTCAGTGCCCACCTGGCCGTTTTGGTGAGAGAGGGCTTGGGCCAGGTGCTGGGAGTAGAAATCAAGTGTCTCAGGCAGGGTCTTACACCTCTTGGTCCTATCATCATTCCCCCTTCAGGTCCGACCTGTGTCAGCAAGAAGAACCCCTGCCAGCCAAATCCCTGCCATGGAGCAGCTCCTTGCCATGTACTACCTGAGGGAGGCCCTAAGTGCGAGTGCCCTCTTGGGCGTGGAGGTCCCCTGTGCCAGATAGGTAGGGGCCACAGGGGGCAGTGTGAGGTATTAGGGTCAAATGTTTGGGTTGAGTTGTGATTCAGTTTTTCAGTCGCATGGAAATTGGGACTTAGACTGGTACCAGACTTGAATTAGGCCTAGGGCTGTGGGGCAGTGGGGATGCAGGAGACCCCAAGTGTCAGCACTTGCACTCCTGAGACATCCCCCTAATCTGGCTCTCCATAGTGTCGGAGGGGGAACATGGCTCCCAGCCCTTCCTGGCTGATTTCAGTGGCTTCTCTTACCTGGAGCTGAAGGGCCTGCACACCTTTGAACGAGACGTAGGGTCAGTAGATGTGGGGAGAGGGCCTTGGCAGAGGGGCTACATCAAGCCTGTTTGGGGAGGGGACATTGGGATACTCCCACAACCCTGTGTGACTCCAGGGAGAAGATGGTGCTGGAGGTTGTGTTCCTAGCCCGTGGCCCCAGTGGCTTGCTCCTCTACAATGGACAGAAGACAGATGGCAGGGGGGACTTTGTGTCACTGGCCCTGCGTGACTGGCATCTAGAATTCCGTTACGATCTGGGCAAGGGGGCTGCAGTCATCAGGTGAGCAGGTGTGGGTGGGCTGCAGATGCTGGACTGTCCCTGGTGGAGACATGACTGGGGGCGCATAGTGGTGTCACTGCCCCGGGCCACCAGAGCCCAGAGCCTGCCCACAGCACTGTCCCCACAGGAGCAAGGAGCCAGTAGCCATAGGCATCTGGACAAAGGTCTCACTGGAGCGAAACGGCCGCAAGGGTGCAATGCGTGTGGGTGATGGGCCCCGTGTGCTGGGGGAGTCCCCGGTGAGTGTCTAAGAGTAAGGAGGGGGCTGTGTCCTCTGCCCATCCTGCCTGGCACCCCTTCCTTCTCCCAGGACTGGGCATCCTGTAGCCGGCTCTCACGATACTGTTTTCTCTTGTCTGTGCTGGGCCTCCGTCTGTCTTCTCTCTGCCCTCACTGCTCTCTGGCTCTTGCTCTGCACCCCCACCCGCTCTCCGGATGTCAGAAATCCCGCAAGGTACTGTCTGCCTCTTACCCACCATTGTCTCCTTACCCACCTAGAGTAGTCACTTCCCACTAACTCTTGCGTCTCCGTCTCTCTGTGACTGACACCGCCTCCTAGGGAGTGCATCTGGCTATGGGCACCCTGGTGTGCACTTGGCCTGTCTGTGCCTGCTGGGCTCCACAGCCCCTCACCCAGTCCCTCCTACAGGTGCCACACACCGTGCTCAACCTGAAGGAGCCACTGTATGTGGGGGGCGCCCCTGATTTCAGCAAGTTGGCCCGGGCAGCTGTAGTGTCCTCTGGCTTTGACGGTGCCATCCAGCTGGTATGAGGAATAGGGTGGGACCCACCTTCAGGGCTGTTGGGGTTGAAGTACAGGAAGTACCTCTGGTGAGGGTCCTGTGCTGGGGCACTAAGGCTCTTCTGCACTCTACAGGTCTCCCTGGGAGGCCGCCAGTTGCTGACCCGGGAGCATGTGCTGCGGGCAGTGGGCATCTCACCCTTTGCAGACCATCCTTGCATGCAAGCCTTGGGCCACCCCTGTCTCAATGGAGCCTCATGTCTCCCACGGGAAGCTTCCTACGAGTGCCTGTGTCCCACAGGCTTCTCAGGGCCGCACTGTGAGAAAGGTGAGCTCTAGCAGCACATGGCTAAGGCCAGGTGGGGCCCCAGGGTTGCCTGGGGCCTATGTGACTGCCTGTCTCTCAGGGCTGGTTGAGAAGTCAGCGGGGGACCTGGACACACTGGCCTTTGATGGGCAGACCTACATCGAGTACCTCAATGCTGTGAGGGAGAGGTAATACACCTCTGGGAGCCAGGCACCCCTCCACCTTCTGCAGTCTGTCTGGTCTTGTCTGTCTGTGCACGCCAGCAGAGCAGGGCAGAATGCCAGACCCACACATACTGCCGGATCTGTACCAGGAGGCCAGGTCCAGTGCCCGCCCCACCTCTGCCCTCCTTCCTTCTCACTGTCTCTGTCTCTTTGTTTCCAAGCGAACTGGCCAATGAGATCCCAGTGTAAGTAGCCTCTGGCCCCCGTACACAACATGCTCTCTGTCCGTCATATGCCCCCTGCCTGGCTGCACCATCCTGAGTTCCACCAAGAGCAGAGCTTCCTGTCCTGGGTGGAGGGTGGGTGTTGGGCCTGTTTGTGCTGTGCAAGGCTCAGCCCCCACCTTGGAAGTGGGGACTACCCCCTTCAAGGACCCATGCCAAGGGCTGCTTGCATCACCCCCCATAACATCCCCCCACAGCACTAGTGCCAGTGCACGTGTGCTGTGTATTTATGTGCAAATTTCCATGTGAGTATGTGCTGTGTGCACATCTGCTGTGAATGTACATGCACATGTGTGCATATGCCCACATGTTGCATGTGAATAGAGGTGTGTGTAAGACGTATGAGCGTGTACATGTGTACATGTGTGTGTTCTTGTGTGTGTTTCTGTACAAACATGTGTGTCGGACAACCAGGGCTGCTGCTTGGCAGATGAGCCCTGCATCTCCATCTGTGTCACCATGCTCCATCCCATGTCCTCTATACCCTGCTGGGCAGTGCTCCCAGCTCTGCACACTTGTTGCACATGTGTCCCTGCCAAGGCTCTCTTGGGTATGGGTCAGTGGTAGCCAGTGTCATGCATGGCTCAGTGGATGCTTGCCAGTGTGGAAAAGGGGACTTCAGCTATCTGCCCTCCTCACTGCTTCCCTCTCTTCCTGCTTCTAAGCCCGGAAACTCCGGATTCCGGGGCCCTTCACAGGTGAGCACTGGCCGTGCCTGAGACCCCAGCCAGGCCTCATCCCGCAGTGTGCCTGCCTGTTGTCTTCATCTCTGTCTTCATTTTTCTGCCACTCTGTTCCTTCATCTGTCTGCCTCTCCTGCCCCGCTGCTGCTGCCCTTGCCCATGTAGCTGCCCTGGGTGCCATTGCCAGCTCCAGCCCTCCTGCCTCCCCACCCCATTTCCGGCTGCCTTCTGGAAGACCTGACTCCCCCCACCCCCCCACAGCGAGAAGGCACTGCAGAGCAACCACTTTGAACTGAGCCTGCGCACCGAGGCCACTCAGGGGCTGGTGCTGTGGAGTGGCAAGGCCACGGAGCGTGCAGACTACGTGGCGCTAGCCATTGTGGACGGGCACCTGCAGCTGAGCTATGACCTGGGCTCCCAGCCGGTGGTACTGCGCTCCACTGTGAGGGTCAACACCAATCGCTGGCTGCGGGTCCGGGCTCACAGGTGAGCAGCTCACGGCAGACACAGTGGGCAGCACCTAGACTTAACTGCCAGGTCACGTCTGTGGTCACTCGCGGTCACCAGCCACCTGCCTGACAGTCACTAGGAATGAGAGGAAGGAGGGAAGGACAAGGTGTGAGGGAAGCATTTATGGCAGGGGACTTGTTGCCACCATCCCGGACCCTAGGAATAACTCCTGATGTGGTTTCCAGGATGTGGCACCTTCGTGGTGTGGGACATGGACAGGGGCTGAAGTGTTGGGGTGGGCAGGGCACTGACCATCTTGTACCCTCAGGGAGCAGAGGGAAGGGTCTCTTCAGGTGGGCAATGAAGCCCCTGTGACTGGCTCCTCCCCACTGGGCTCCACACAGCTGGACACAGATGGAGCCCTGTGGCTCGGTGAGTGTTTGGGGGACGCCAGGGAAGGGAACCAGCCGTGTCAGGATGTCTGAGGCAGACTGTCCTGAGTCGGCCTATCGGGACAAAAGTGACTGGCTGGGGCAGGGCCGTGGCCTTCAGGCCAGGGGAAAGTGCATGCGTGGACACACCTGCTGGTCACTGTTCCCAAGCAGCAGTGGCCCTTGCCCACTACCATGCTGAATTGCAGCTGAGTGACTTCCCTGTCTGTCTTGCAGGGGGCCTGCAGAAGCTGCCCATGGGCCAGGCCCTGCCCAAGGCCTATAGCACAGGCTTCGTGGGCTGCCTACGGGACGTGGTGGTGAGCGGGCACCCACTGCACCTACTGGAAGATGCAGTCACCAAGCCAGAGCTGCGGCCCTGCCCTGCCCCGTGACCAGCAACCAAGACCCACCCACCCTGCTGTAATTATTTTCTATTTTTGTAAACTTGTTGCTCTTCGATATGATTTCCTTGCCAGTGTGTTGGCCAGAGGGACTGCTGGCCTGGCCTTCTTCCTGTCCAGGTAGCTGTGCTGCAGAGACATGTGGTGCCAGAGACTCGCAGGGTCCATACGCAGCCTCAGGACCAGCCTCTCTGCCTCAGGGCAGCACAAGCAGCCCCTTGCACTGTGTGTCCCCAGTGTGTCCACCTCTGTTGGTCCCTTGTATTCCTGCTTCCCATGTCACCATGTTCTGCTGGATAAGGTCCATGTCCCAGAGTGGGGGAGCTGCAGGCTTCAGTGGGGCCTTCCTCCGAGCAAGCCCCAGGGCCTCCTGGTTCCCACTTACACTCCTCTTGCTGTGGGCGAGCCTCGCCTGGGCTAGCCAGGACCCTAGGCCCCTCTGCCAATACTGTGACCTAGAAATAATGTTACTTTTGGGCCCATGTCCTATACCCCAAGTGTGTCTGCTAACTCCCAGGTGCTAGGGGACAAAGGCCAGGGCCAGGCCCACCTAGGGCACCTCACTGGCCCTGCCCATCCACCCTGGATGTAGACCCCTTCCCCACACTCCAGGCCCAGTGAGGAGCTCCTGAGGGAGTGGACCACTGTTTGATGCGGCCTGCTGCGTGGGCAGCCACCCTCCTTCCCTCGGGTGGGTGTCTGGGCCTGACCACCAACCATGTTCTTCAAACACTGGTCTCATTTAATGCACAAAGGTCACACCTTTTCTCCTTCTGTCCTGGCCCCACAGTAGTACAGGTTGCCAACCAGGTGTGAGGGAGGCTGTCCTCATTGAGTGTGACCGGGGATAGCCTGATATCTGACCAAGGCCAAAGGGCAGATGCAGGTGCGGCAGACATGGCAGTGGAGCTAGAAATGCCTTAAACTGCAGCATCCATCCTACCATCCCCTCCATGCAAGCTGTGGAAGGCCATTGAAGGCTGGTGGGGTGGCAGCCTGGCCCCTCTGCTGGGGGAAAGGGAGGCGGGAGGGAGCTGCATGGTGTCTTGTTACTAACTCCAGTGCATCCGTCAAACACCATGAAATAAAGTGTAAACACAGAGGGTCTGTGTCTGTCTCTGTGTGCCAACTGCTAGCTCTGAGTTTGGGGGCTTTTTGCCCAGCTCCATAGTGAGGGCACAGGCTTTAAGCTCCCTGGGGGGTCCTGATTGGAGGACAGGGTCAGGGCATAGGCTTCAAGCTCCCTGGGAGGTCCTGATTGGAGGACAGGGTCTGCACTGGGGGTATGTATGACAGGGTGCAGAGTTTACTCCAAGTGGCCTCCTTGGGAACAGCTAGGCTGCAGTGTGAGTTTGCACATGGAGCAGCCTCCCTGTGTCTGAGCACAGGATGGGGACAAGCTGGGGGACACTCGGTAGTGAGGGGGCAACCGTTGGCACTTCTAGGTGAGCTTGCCACAGAGCCCTGACAGGATTATGGGTGACCATTGGCAGTAGGCCAAGTACTTTAGGAGGAGCTGGGGAAGGGGCTTGTGGATATAAAGATAAAAAGTGTGTTTTTTTGACTTGGTATTAGTGAAAGACTCTCCCCTCCGAAGAAAAGCAAAGAAAACCCCAATAGCCCAGAACCAGAGACTCTGCGTTTCTGTAGCATTTGCTTTATTATTCCTTCATTTGCTTGCTCCTTCAGGAGTGCTGGGCAGGGGCAGGGTCTGATGCTCAGGATGGGGAGGAGAACCCCATAGGGTGCACAGGCATAGATACCCTTGAGTCTGGAGCTGAGGGGTCAAGTGGAGGCTGAAGTAGACTTGGCTTCACAAAAGGTTGGAAGCAGCGGACCAGCTGGAGATGGTTGACCGCTGCAGTGAGTAGAAGGACCCCTCCCCCGGGAGCCGCATGTGCCAGTACAAGAGGTGCTAGTGGGGTGTGATGCAGGGGAACATGGCCCTGAGAGGCCAGGCCCGGGTTGGGGGCGGGGTTAGGGCTGAAGGGAAGTTGCAGCAGGGTTGGGGGAGGCGAGTGAGGACTGGACAGCGCAACCCGAGGGCTCTTCCCACCTGCCCAGCACCGTCCTCACCACACCTGGCTGCTTGGTGGATAGTGTGAAAGCCCTGAGGTGTCATTTTTATTGGGCTTCCACCCATTTACACTTAGCTCAGCCTAGGTACTAGACACAGGTCCTTTCAAGGGTCCAGTCCAGGGGCCAGAGGGCCTGGAAGGGTTGTAGGCGGGTTCTGGCTCCAGAAGCCATGCACCCTTTAGCGGGAGTGACCTGTTTCCTTACAGAGAAACCTCAGCCACTGCCCTGGGGAGAGGCTGGGGGCTTGGACTGGGAGTGCCCAGGGGTGGACAGGGCCCAACTGGGTGGCAGGCAGTCCTCTTGGGGCCCTCAGTATGGCTGCCCTGTTTATCCCATCGTTGGCCCTGGGCACAGCTGCCCCTGCTGTCAGGGAGGTGCTAAGGACGAGATGTCCCAGAGCCTCCCATGGGGACAGCAGGGCCGTCACAGCGTCAGCACTGGCGTCACTGCTGTAGGAGAGGGGAGGCATCCACTGTTTTCCCTCATTCACTCCTCCTCTCTGCCCTCCCTCTTCTCCCTCCCCTCTCCTCCCTCCCTTCTCCCCGCGCTTCTAACCTGTCTCCTGGTCTCTGTCTCTTTCTCCAGTACTAAGATACATCCCCAGCCCTTGGTCTCACTAAACTGACCAGGCTGCGCTCAAATTTGATAGTGTCCTGCCTCAGCCTTCTGGAATTACAGGAATGTGCCTCCATGCCTGGCTTGTGTTTCTCTTTTTTGCCAACATTCCCAGAGGCTCTGAATTGACCACATGACTAAGTAATTCCTGAGCCCAGAAATCCCCACCCTGAAGAGGAAACAGGCTGGGGCCAGAGTCACTAAGAGAGCAGGTAGGGTCTCAGAGACGGCTCTTGTGCAGCCTGTTCCTACGGAGCCTGGGGCTGTGTCCTGGGCAGTCACAAGTGGGACTGTGCTAGGGAGAGAGGCTGGGCGGGCTGCTCTCCAGGGGTAGTGTAGCCCAGGCTCTTCTCCTCTTTGCCAGCTGTCAGCAGAGTAGAGATCACACTGGGCATGGACTCCTGCCCTGCTCTCATCTACTAATCACTACCACGTCCATTCCTTTTTTAAAACGGTAGTAGGGATTACTGTAGCACTGCAGGCTCACTGAGTGCCCGCTGAGCTGTGGCCCCTTTTAATTTTTTTATTATTTATTTATTTTTGTCTTTTTGAGACAGGATCTTGCAATGCAGCTTAGGCTGGCCTTGAGCTCACTTTGTAGCCCAGGTTGGTTTCAAACTTGCAATGATACTCCTGCCTCAGCCTCTGGAGTGCTGGGATTACAGGTGTGCGCCACCATGCCAGCTGATTTTTTATTTTGAGACAGGGTCTTGCTAAGTTGGCTAGGCTGACCTCAAATTTATAGTCATCCTGCCTCAGCCTCCTGAGTAGCTGAGATTACAGCTGTGTACCACCATCCCCATTTTATTCATTAATTCAAACTGAATTAATGAATTTAAATTTATTTGTTAAATATATGTATTGATCCCCAGGCACTGTTTTTGGCTCTGGGATACAGCAGCACAGAGAACAGTCCCTGTTCTCCAGGAGTTTAAATCCTGAGGTAGGAAGCAAAATCAGATAAATACAATATTTTTGTCCATGAGGTGATAAATACCACAAAGGGACAGTGACAAGCTGAGCTCTGTATTGATCAGCAAGTTTAACATATTACCAGGAGCCCTGGAAGAATGCTTATCCCCACAGAGGTAGAAGCTGAGGCTGAGGGTGGGCTGAGGGCAGTGCATTTGTTTTGAGTGGGTCTAAGCAGGGCTGGCACCAGGCAATGTCTGCACCTGCAATGAAAAGCAAGCACCCTATGGGAGACACTCCTGTGGCTTTGGTGGACACACTAGGGTGCTCCCAGGACTCCAAACCCCTGACTTTTCCCATGGGCCTCAGGGCCCTGGCACCGCTGACACACAGGGCTGGGGTGGGGTGGGGGGGCAGGACTGTCCTTCCTGATGACCTCATCCCAACATCTGCCTGGGGGCCTTCAGGCAGATGGGTAGGAAGCACCCATGGAGGACTGGATGCCAGAGGACTTGGACCTTTGAGGGCACAAAGGCCTCTGGGCAGGAGGGAGAAACGCATGAGGCCTTGGGGAGGGCTCAGCAGGATGAGGACAACCGTGGACCCACCGCCTGCCCTGGGGGACCTGGTGGTGCAGCCTCAGCTTGGGATGCTTTTCCCTGGGGTTCTGGCTGGAGCCCAGGGAAAGGTGTTGTGTGATGAGAAGGGCAGAGGAGGACCAGGAGAGTGGACAGTGGCCCTGCATCTGCCCTGAACATAGAAGGTAGTCTGTAAGCACGAGGGCAGCCAAGAAGAGACTCTGACAGGGCCTAGTCCTGCTTGGTCATCTACTGAGCCCGAGGTGGAATGGACAACTGCCCATAGAACGGACAGCCCTCATTTTAGAAAGACCAAATTTCCTCCCCTGGTCTCCCCAGCCATGCTGTCTTGGGGCACTCCAGCAGGTGGGCAGAGACTACCCCTGGCTGTGGATTCCTGGGCAGAGGTCTAGAGATGGCAGAGTCAAGAGAGAGTTGGCCTGGGGTCCAAAAGCCAATCCTGGCCTGGGAAGGGCCAGGCCTTGCCCCCAAGTTTCCTGGCTGGGGAATGGCAGGGCCAGGACCTCTCTACACAGGAAAAACCCAGACTTTTCTGAAAGCTGAGGGTGCCACATGAAGGGAGAGCCTGGAGTCTGGCACCCCCCATGACAACTGGCACCCCTGCTGTTTCAGGTGCCATGAGACCCATGACATTGGTGTCCACCATACCTGTGTTGAGGGATAAAGCAACATCACACGGCATACTCTGAGATCCACCACAGTGGGCCAGGTAGAGCTCCAGCACCCTCTGGGCTGCCAGGATCCCATGCCAGAGCAGTGAGCTCAAGCCAGGCATGTGTGCGTGTGTGTGTGTGCATGCATGTGTGTGTGCGTGTGCATGTGTGTGTGTTTATGAGGACTGTGTCTTCAAGGCACGGCCTCAGGAAACCACTGTCCCTACTCAGGAATATGTGCAGCTCCCTCCTCTGACTCTGGCCTCTTTTCCTCCAGGCCGGAGGCCCCAGCGGCGAGGGTAGGAGTGCAAAGGGCAGGTCTTGCCCTGGTTCCACCTCTGCCTTCCTTGCCGGTGACCTAAGGTGAGCTGGCTCCTCAGCCTTGGTTTCCCCACTGCAGGGAGCTGCACCTGCCTCAGAAGTGGCCAGCCTGGCCCGGGGAGGTCCTTCTTCCTGAGGACCATGCTGCCACCTGGTGGTCCACAGAATGCCTATCCTGCTCCAGCCGATTCCTCGGGTTGCCAGGGAGAGGGAGGTGGCCCTGGCCAAGGTCCATGAGTGTCTTTCAGGTGTCTGCCTCCTGTGGGTCTTTGTCCACTTAATGTGTGCCTCACCAGGCCAGGTCTAGCAAACAAGCTGAAAAAGGCAACCTGGAATCTTCATGGTGTGGAGAGAGAGAGCAGCTCTGGGGCTTTATTGACCCAGGAGCCCAGTAAGGCACAGGCACTTCATGATCTGCTGCCATGCAGGAGGTGGCATAGGTGAGCTGTTGCTCTGGGAAGAGCAGACTTCGAAGCCAGACTTCACTGCCACCCCACAGCCTGACAGGAAATATGTCGAGGGAGGTAGGGAGCACTTCACCACCACTCCAGACCTTGTGGAACACTACAGAGAAGCCACAGGGTGCAGGAGTCAGGGACCCTGTCTCCTCCAGCAGATGTGTACCCACGTGAACCTTGGATCCCAAGCAGCTTCTTCCCACTGGAGCCCATGAGGATGCTGCACAGCCCCAAGAGAGGGGAACTGGCTAGCCAAAGGTGAGGGTACTGGGTTCAGAACAGGAGCTTGAGTGGAAGAGGGCAAGGCAGCCACCTCGGGCTGTGGGCTGTCCCTGCCGGCCCCACAAGGCTATGAGGTTCAGCCTCCAACATCAAGAGCTGTCTGTGGGAGCTCATGAAGCCACAGACACCAGCAGAGAGGTCAAGCAGGCCTCTGGGGAGGGTTTGAGAGATCCCCTGGTCATCACCCAGACCTGTCTTCTGAGCTGGGTCAGGGGAAGAGGGTTGGGCACTGAGAGGTCTGGAGAAGGGCAATGCTCCTGCCAAACCTCTGTTCCCCCATGAATGCCAGCTCCTGTACCCCGAGAAGAGGCACAGTTGTTGGAGAACAAGCTCAAGAACACATACAAGAACATCTTTCACTGGGAGGCAAGCCCCAGGGCTCCCTCACACTCCATTCTGCAGGGCTCTGGGTAGAGCAGGGAATGCAGCTGCCACGAGAGGTGTGTTGAGGTCTCTCTACCTCTGCTCATTGCAGGGTCAGAGGCAAGGAAGCAGTGTGGTCCTTGAGCTTCCTGCCTCCTTCAAAACCTGAGACTGTACAGCGTGGAAGACAGTGTACCTGAAGCCAACCACAAGAGCAGGCTGGTGTGCCAGGAGGCAGGTGTGCATAGCACATCTTCCATGTGGCTGGCCTGGATCACACAGGATACCATGGTCCCCCTGTTAGGAGCCTGGAGCTCCTTCCAGAAGGTCCAAAAGGGTGCAAGGAAAGTGTGGACTTCGGCAGGACTGAATGCTAGTGGGGTAGCAGCAGTGCTAAAGCGGTCCCTGGAGCAGCCTCTTGACTATTGGACCTAACGCTCTCCCTCACTTCCAGGAACTGTGTCAAAGCCATCAGTCACCATGTCACTTTGCAAAGGTCTGTCCTCTGGACCTTTAGTCCTGGAACCAGCAGGCAGTCAACACCCACCTCTTCCAGAGTGACCCAGAAGATAAGCCAGGCTGTGGAGTAGGTAGAGTGTCCATTGCCACCACATTTGCAGACCACGGTGGTCACTTCTGGGCCCTGGTGCACAGTGAGCACACTTATGTTCATGACCACCAGAGAGGTGGAGGGAGGTTGGACTGGAGCTCTCTGAGTCCCCCTTGTGCTGTAGCTGGCCTAGACTTGCTGCTTTGGACAGTCAAGGAAACAGCCCTGCCTGACTGGGACAGGAGGCTGTGGACACTGAGGGAGAGGTAGCCCTGAGATACCTGTGTTTCCCTGAGGAGCACAATTCTGCCAGACAGGCTGACACAAAGCACTGACCCCCAGAACAAGTGCTTGTGGACCTGGCCAAAGCCACAGGATAGCAAAACAGCTGAACATGGGCAGAGGCCCACTGTGTGTAGGAGCTGCAGATAAGTCTGGTAGGCAAAGGGTCAGTGTAGTCAGAGTCCCTCGGTGTGTGTTGGGGGCCCTGAGTGGAGACCTCCAAGCCTGGTTTCTCCAACTCTGCTGGCTTTGGTGGCTGCCATGTTCTTTAATCCTGCAGATGCAGTGCAATCCTGGCCTCGGGGAAGTGTTCATGGAGGCTGCCCACATTCTCAAGCCAACACCGCAGGGTGGCCTCACACTCTTCATCCTGCAGGGCATCTCCCATGCGTCTCCTTGGGCCAGGGCAGCAGCTCCACCTCCTCTGCCAGTGGCAGCACAGATCCCACTCTCTACAGCTCCACCTCTGTGCACGTGAGAATCCTTTGGGCACCACGAATCCCCGAGGGGGGCTCTGCCCAGATAGAGGTCTGTCCCCAGCTCCCTTTTCCCTTCCTAGGGACCCAACTCTCATCCCCACCCCCTTATGGACTGGGCCCATCCCTGGCACCTCTCCCAGGGTGGGGGCAGCAGTGCCCTTTGACCCTCTTGGGAGCTGCCCTGACCTGCAGGCCCTTGGTGGCTCACTGCAAGAGCAGCCATGCACAGAAGCTATGCAGGCCGAGGCCAGACCTCCTGACCAAATAGGGACAGGGCCTGGTTCTCTCCCGGTGAACTCGCCATCCATCCTCCTAATTTGTCCTCACGAGGTGGCCATCCATCATAATGACTGACATCCTCATGGACGTCATCAGCAGGCTGGTTGACCTCTCCGGCTCTGCCTCCCCCGAGACCATGCCCATGTGTGATCATGTCCACTAACCCCCTCCTCTGTGGGCCCTGGCCCCGCCTTTCTCCCCCTATTTGCCCCACCTGGCCCCACCCTCCGCACCTAGCTCCACCCCTCTGGCCTTGCCCACTGCCCTCCCCCACCCACCAGTCCCCATGAGCCTGCTCATCCCCAGGACTTGATTGTGACATCAAGGACATCAACATCTCAAAGTTGATCTGGCTGGTGCGGCAACCTCGTTCAGGAAGGTGCTGATGAGGCACAGTACCAGCTTGTGACTCTGGCTCTGCGGCAGTGCCTGCAAGGAGAGCAGCTGTGACTGTGTGAGCAGACAGGGATAGGCCTTGCAGACATCACCATGGTGACTGTGAGGCCCTTCCCCCAACACGAACCCCCAAACCACGAGCCTGTGTATCTGAACCCGTGGGCTAAGCGCAGGGAATCCAGCCACTGCCCGTGACCTGCTCAGTTCTGGCCCCCTGAGGCAGGCATGAGGTGGACTTTGGGGGACCAGGTGATACCACCAGTTGGGACATGGCTTTAGGGCCCTGGAAGTGAGGAGCTGGTCTGTGGGACTCTCCAACAGGCCCTATTCCTCAGGTCTCTTCCCTGAGGACTGAAGGCTGTGACCAATGACACTGGTGAACTTGTGTGTGCCACAAGTCCAGATACCCTTGAGTGGGCTTGTGTGTGACATGAGTGACAGGCTGTGCACCTGACCTGACTATGCCAGTGTTGGCTCAGGTCTCCAGTGTATGAGGGGCCCTGTCACCGTCACATGTGGACATGGCTGTGGAATGAGCATATGTGCTAGGGCAAGCCCATGTGACCCTGAGCCCAGCCCTCTGGGTGCCAAGGGTGTGGCTCATGTGTGTGACAGGTGACAGGGTGTGACGTCACTGGCCTGTGGTGCTGGAAGCACTCCCCCATCACAGCAATATCTCCAGTAAAGCTCTGTGTTTTCAATTCTGTCTTCACTGTGGCTTGGACCAGGGGTGCGTGCAGGGTCTCTGTCCTCACAGGGGAGCCAGCTGTGTCAGTGTTCCCCTGAACCTCCTCACCTTCCTAGTTGGAAATGAAGTACCTTGGAGTCAGAAATGAGGAGTCCAGGACCTGCCTGAGCTAGAACAGCCCTGCTGTCCTGGCCATGCCTGCCTGGTGGTGCAGGATTCCTGGGGCTGATGCAGAACCAGGGTGGGGTGGAGTGAGTGGGCAAGATGCCCAGCCTCAGGGCCTGGGAGACTTCCTTGCCACTTCAGCACCATGCTGAGCTGAAGAGCTGAGGCCCTGATCTTCACGCCTCTGGTTCAGGGACTCTCAGGCCTCAGTTTCCATGGAGGTCATGGGTTCCATGGCTCTGTAACCAGGTCCTGGTGGGTCATGGGGCCATGATTTCTTGGAGGTATGTCCAGGACAGCCATGGTGGACAGTGGGAAGGAAAAGGTGTCCCTTAGAGCCGCTGGGTTCTGGGCCAGGCTAGGCTCCACCCTCATCCTGTCTGCCCTGATCCACAGCTGAGGCTTGCCTGTCTCCCGGAGAGGAGGGGTCACTGTGCTGAGTGCCAGGCATGTCCAGAACTGTCCTGCTTGTCTAAAGCCATGAGGGTGGGGTGACCCCCAAGAATCTCTGCCCCCACAGTGACTGGTAGGGTACCTTGGACCGAGGCTATGTGGGATGGACTGGAGATCTTTGGAAAGGGAGGGACTGAGAAGCCCAGGAAAGGGAGCATTCGGGGTGATGAGATCCACCAAACATGGATACAAAATAGTTTATTTAAAAACTCTTCACAGGGGCAGGAGGGACCGCTGGAGTTTTCTGCTAGGCTGGCCATGGGGGTGCCCTGCCTCTGCACCCTCACCCTGGGTCAGAGGACAAGCTCAGCACCCCCACCTAATGGAAAGGGCCAGCCTTGTCTAGCGAGGGCCCAGGGAAGACCCTGGTGAAATGTAAGCATAGAGGGAGGGGACAGCCAGCCCCTCCCTTCTGGGCAGTTCACAGTGTATGAGGGAGAACCAGGGCAGCATCCGGCATCTTCTGGGCCCCTTCCCCATCAGCTTGCTGGGGTCAGGGGTGTCTGGCCTCTAGAGCCTGTGGTTCTGGGAGCCTTTGGGGACCCTTTATCCACTCCATCAGAATCCAGTCCCAGAAGTCCTCATTACAGTCTTGGGGCTGACATCTAGTGGTGGCCACTCTCTTCACCCCAAGGGGTAAGGGTGGGAGTCAAAGGCCTGGCCACTGGTGGGTGACCCTAATCGTTGGTTAGAGGCTGCAGCGAGAAGGCAGAGGTCACAGTGGTGGCAGCGGCTGCATGCTGCTGGGGCAGGCAGCGCAGATTCCCAGTCTTGAGGGCACACTGCACAGGCCACAGCACCACGCAAAAAAGCACCAGTAGCAGCACTGAGACTAGCACCAGGCGCCGCCAGTCTGCACAGCGCTCCCAGCAGCGGGCCAAACAGGACAGGCGGCCCTGGTGTGGGGCAGGGTCCGGGACAGGCACAGGAGGTGTGGACTCAGCAGGCTTACTCAGTCCCACATCCACACACACAAAGCCGGGCACCTCTTGGCCAGGTGTGGTAGGCGGTGGGCGGCAGTACAGTTTGGTACCCTCCAGCCACACTGGCTCCTCCTGGCGCAGGTGCGCTGGCAGCTTAGCCTGCAACTGGCGGCTGGTGCGAAGCCCAGGGGCCCCAGCAGCTGGCACGGCTGTGGGCTGCCGGCAGAATGGGCAAGGCACAGCCTCTGTGCCAGGGCGGCCTGTGGGCTGGGCAGCTGCCAGCCGGGCCAGGCACTCTAGGCAGAAGACGTGGGTGCAGGAGAGCTCCTTGGGTGTCTTGAAGATGTTGTCATAGCCTGAGAAGCAGATGGAGCACTCCAGTGGCGAGGCCACCCGCTCCAAGCTGGGGGTGCAGGGGGACCTGGGACTGCCAGCTGGGCCGGAGGACCCAGGCACCGAGGAGGCTGTGGAGCTGCTTCGGCTTGGGGGCAGCATAGCTGTGTGCCATACTTCCTGGCCTGATGACATGGCTCTGAGCTGCAGCACAAGCAGAGGGCACTGTGAGTGATCCCAGAGGCCACTTATCAGTGAGGTCGACCTGTCGCTCTCTCTTTCTTCTATCTTTCACAGCAACAGCCCCACACAGATCAGGAAGGACACTGCCCCCCTGTGGGCCCCTCCAGAGCTCCTTCTGTCTGTACCCCTGAAGTCTTCTGTTCACACTATAACCCGTCCTCCCCCACATGCCACAGGGCCAAGCGTCCTGGTGACTTATAACTGGATGGCCCTGCGGGGCTATAGGAATGGAAACCACAGGCCCAGGGCTCTTGCTGATGGCTCAGTGGGTGCCTTGAGCAACAATGGCCCATGATAGTCCTTGTTTCCTATGGGCTGTGCGGGCAACCCATAGCCCTGTATGGATAAGGCAGCTTTGAGGGTAGGGTGGCCAGGGTCTTCCCACCTAGTTAGGGGAAGTTTGAACTTGGATCTTAGTGGGCTGGTTTGGCCAGGGATTGGAAATGTCCCTCAGCTATAGCCAGAGAAGAAGGTTAGGGTTACACAGCTGGCTGCTGAGGAGGAAATGGGATCTCGAGATCCAGGGCCTTCCTTCTCCAGACTCAATTCCACTTTCCTGGCAGCCCTGAAAGAACCTGCTGACCAGGGCCCCTCTTTGGGCTAGGTGTCCGCCCCAGGGGGCCACAGGCATCCTGCCTGGAGGCAGATAGGTAAGAAGATTACTCATCTTCCTTTTCAGAGGCCCTGGTCATGGGACCCCATGAAGCCCAGGTGGCCACACCATCGGTGACCTGGGTTGTGCCTGGCCTGACCTGCACCTGCTGGTTAGTCCCAAGTGGGTAGCTGAAATGGCTCAGGTGTTACTAAACTGCCCGTGTGATCGTGTGAGTCACGTGACATCACGGTGATGTCATGAGAGCCCCAGGTTCCTGGCATGTGATGTCACCACATCTTGAGGCAGCAGTGGCCTTGCAGGGTCTGGGGAACCTCAGGATTGTTCTCTCCCACTTGCCCCTCACAGAACCAGTTTCCTAGCACCAGGCCTCACCCTCTTTGAGGTGCCCCACCCTGAGCCTGTGCAGGTGAAAGGTAAGATGCTGGACTGGACTCACCTGGCAGCTGGGGGTCAGCGGCTCCTGGGCATGGTTCTCTCTGGCCACAGCAGGGCTCTGAGCCCCTGGGCTCTGCAGCTCCAGCAGCGTCCTCTCCCTCTCCTCCCAGCCCAGTCTGACCTCCACTCCACCTGGCAGGTGTCCCTCCGCAGGCCAGTGTTCAGCAGCTGTTGTGTGTCACCAGTCTGGCAGGCGCGCCCTCAGCTCTGTTGGGGGTGGGAATGTACGTGTTGTCCAGTCCGGAGCAGGGTGCTGTGGGTTCTCAGGGTGTCAGCTCCAGCAGGTGTATTTATACCCTCCAGGTCATACCAGTCCAGGGTGTGGCCACAGCCCAGGGATTGGCTGGCTTCCCACCCTCCCTAGCAGGCCAGGCATGGGAAGGAGGGGAGTAGGTGAGGATCAGAGCAGGGGTGGACTGGGGTTATGATAGGCTCCTGCAACTCAGAGTCTGGATGGTAGACAGTGGATGATCAAAGCCCCTGCCCCTGGGAAAAGAATCTGCCCCCATTCCAGATCCCAGATACCTGACTCTGGAGTGGGCCCTAGCCCAGTGGGCCACCCTGTCCACCTATGTCCTTCCCAGCAGCCCCTCCTGCACCTCCTCTCCTACCTCCCTACACATTCTCACATGCATGCCCCAGGTCCACAGCCTTTGTGGAACTCCCTGCTCTAGGGTCCAGGAAGTGGGAGTGAGAGGTCAGAGCTGGGCTGGGCCTGGGCAGTGGCCTTGAGGGTGAGGTCCCTGGGCTATAGGGTCACTGTCCTCTGCTAAGATTAGCCACACAGTTAGGGTTAGGCTTTTTTACTCTGGCCCTCAGCAGAGGAGTGACCCAGACACAGGGCCCATGGACCCTACTGCTGAAAGCTGTACCCTGGACCCACAGCTGCCCTCATACCCACCTGGGGGCCCACTGGTAACCTCCATGTCCTGGGCCCCAGAAGTCCCCGTAGTTCAGGTCCTTGCATACTGGACACAAGGCCAAGTTCCATAGGGCTAGGTATGGGAGCCTGAGGGGATGGGAGTCCTATTAGAGGGGGACCTGAGTTCAGGAAGGTACTGAGGCTCCCCACCTGTTCCATGACAGAGCAGAACCCCAGGGAGAGGTATGGGTTCAGGGAGGGAGTGGGGTTCAGGGAAGAAATAGAGGCCCAGAGAGGGGGTACAGTTCAGGGAGAGGTGGGGTCCAAGGTCCAGGGACACTGAGGACACATGGGATCCTGGAGATCTGCTGTGAGACTGTCCTTGGGAGTGAGTCTGAGATTCATGACTCCCTGTCACATGCCTCCCAGAACTCACCCTGAGTCCCAGCTGCTCAGGAACATCCTTCTGAGGGCTTCTGGGAATATCCAAGCTCTGAGGTCACTGGGGCTCCTCAGAGGATAGGCAGTGCCCAGAGGCCAGGTGACAGTGAGGCCTGAGAATGTGCGGGGCCTCCCTGAAGAGGTGGGGCTGGGCCTGGGAGGCCAGGCTAGCAGCACAGGTGTCTAGGGCACTATTTGGGCCCACCTGGTCCCCATCCTGGCCAGCAGGAAGCACAGAACACACAGCAGGAGCTGAGTGACAATGTGTGGGAGTGTGCCCCCACACTAACACAGCAGAGTGAGCAGTGTACCTGTGTGAGGCATATGGGTGCCACTGTGCACACAGGGACCTGACCACCCCCAGCCATAGGGCTCCCTGGACAATGCCCATCTGATATGGGCTGGACACAGAGCTGTCCTGGGCAGCTGAGCCAAGGAGGGAGTCAGCTCTCACCTGAGCCCACCCTGGTCATATCCCTTCTGCCACCAGCACTTTGTAAAGTCCCTGGCAATGTGCTGGCAGGGTATGGTCAGGGCGGTGAGGCCCTCCACAGCCAGGCTCCTTATGCCTAGTCCCACCTGCCCAGTGCTGGCCACTCTGAGTCCCAGAGTTGCTGACATGGGAAGTGCATGCACACCCACAATGGGGCCCATTGCTTGGGCCTGGGATTCCTCCCTGCAGGCCCTGGTGCAGGGGCTCTGGGGTTGGAAGTGCCCATGGGGCTGACCCTGATCTGGCTTCTCCCCTTTGGTGCCCATCAGTGAGTGTGAGGTCTCCACAGCTCCTAACCAACCTGGTGGGCCTGCCCTGTGCCAGCTGCCCCAGACCACCCTGAGGCCACTCCCAGTCCTCCTGTGGGTCCTTCCTTGCTGTCCCCTACCCTCGGTCAGTTCTAGCCACCCCTCTCCATGTCAGTAAAGCCACTAAGCAGGTGGGAACGAGGAGTGGGTACTGGGCTGTGGGAGACCTGGAGAGGCTGGAACGAACCTAGTTTCCAGTTTGAGCCACAAGGTAGAAGGGGAGTGGCCCCAGAAAGCATGGGAAAGGAGTCCTGACTGTCCCCCAAGGGGCTGACTGGCAGACCCTACACTGCCCTCTCTGCCTCTGGCCTCCCATCAGAAATGCCCTCCCCACCTCAAGGACCCTCATCTGGCCTGGCCAGAACAGCCAGGACAGCTCAGGATGGCGTGACCCATGGGCGACCCTAAGTGCAGAGAAGAGGTACAGGGGGCTGACTCCTTCCTGGCCCATGCTACCTTCCCGTCCTGACCGGGGGGCGGGGGGGCGGTCCTTGGTCCCCAGAACAGAAGGGCTATGTCTAAACCCTTACTCCATGGTCTGGTGGGGGCCCTGCTCCCCAGTGCTTTTCTGGAGCCCGGGTCAGGGGGAGAAGAACACTCCCCAGGTGCCTCAGCAGCTAGAACCACAGGCTGGGATCCAGAGTCAGGTACTATTAGATGTTTTTTTGGTACTAGGACAGAGGCCCAGGGCAGATGTGAAGCAGGGATAGGACTCTTAAGTGTTCCAGGCACTCTGCCCTCCTCTGGGGAGGTCAGCAAATGTCCCTGTCCCCTCAGGCCTCTCCAAAGAGCCATCCATCCACAGGTTTGGAAGGTTCTGTGTTAGGCTTGGGTGACCAGAACACAGGGACCCCACTCTCTCAAGGGTGACTCCAGCCCACACACTACCCACGTGTGGCCTCTTCCCAGGGGCTCAGATGTGTGGTGCTCAGTGGTCCTGTCTGTGCCCCTTGCCAGGTCTGACCAGTCAGAGCAATCTGGAGGAGGCGGCCACATTCTTCCCCTCTTTCACCCCAGGGAGGGCTTGTCCTGCAAGAGGCAGCTCAGGGGAAGCCCCTTGCCCAGGGGATGTCCTGAAAGGACAGGGCTGCATCTGGGGAACAAGCCCATAACGAAGGGTACACTTGAGGGTAGGCTGAGCTCTCCCACACCCTGACAGGGGGCTTTTCCATCCCTCCCTGTCCCCTGTCCCCTGCACATGGTCGTGGGGTGGATGGCGTGGGCCTGGATAGGAATGGCACCGCTCACATGCAGAGAACACACAATGCTTGGGAGGGTGAGAAGACCCAGAAGAGAGAAGCTTCAAAGGGTTTACTTGATCTGACTTCACATGGGTGGCCCACACCCTCACTGTGGAAGAGGCTGTCAGCTCGCCCCAAGCAAGCTCCTGTGAGTGTCGATGAACAGTAAACTCCAAATGTGCATCATGGTGCCAGCGGGTCAGGTCCCTCCAACATGGGCCAGTCACTGAGGGGGATGGTGCTGGATACCCCCAGGCCTGGGCTGGACCATGCACCAAGCCCAGCATACAGGAGATGGCTGCAAAAGAGCATCCTCCACAGCAACCTACATTCAGTGCCACTGGACAAGGGCCACCAGCTGGCACGCCTTTGGCAGCTCAGCGAGGCCAGTGCCTGGTGGCTTCAGGGGTGGGTCTCCATGTGCGGACACATCACTGTGGGTGGCTGGTGTGAGTGTCTGCTGGCTGCAGTCTGCCCCTGTGGACGAGGGTCTGCCCAGCCTAGGCGAAGACCCAGCCTCTGCGTACAGAAGCACCTCAGCTTCTTCCGTCAACACTGAGATAACAACCTGAGGCCAAGGGACTCCTGGAAGTGCAAAGCTGTGGCTTGCGGGCTTGGCCACTATGGGATAGTTCATTCTGAGGTACCTCAGCCACAGAGGCTATGACCTCCCTTATGTCTGAGCCTTGCTCTCATTCCCTTCAGAGAGGTTTGTGAGGCTCTTTGGCTGGGGGTGTGAGGGTCCTGCCCGACATGGGCTCAAGGGTGAGGGTCCTTCTGAGGGGCAAAGCAGCCTGGGGTACCCGCAGCCTGAGCTGGTCCTGAATTTTGCCTGTCTCCTGAGGGCCTGCACCCCACCCCTTTGCTCCCAAGCTCCTGGTCCGATCACTGAGCAACATGGGAGGGATGAAAGGGAGGTGATGTCGGCTCCAACCATACCAGGTCCATCCCAGGCCCCAGGTGACATGCCCTCTGCTGGCTCATCCAAGGGGCAGTCCAGGCTCCATGGCACAGGGTGGTAGGGTCTCAGCCTCCAGGTCAGACATTGCTGATGCGAGCATCCACCGCAGGGAAGGCAGAGCTGTCCATAGCCCTGTCTGGGGGCCTCTCGCGTCTCACATATCTAGGCTTCCGCACTGGAACAAGGTCAGAAACAAGCTGGATCAGAGCCAGGAACAATCCATGGCTGGGTCTGCACTGGGGCTCTGGGGAGTGTGGTGGGCTGCTATAGGTGTGAGGTCAACATGGGCCTGTTTACTCAGACTGGGGGAATTGGGGCTCCATGCCCAGAGTTTTTAGCAGGCCCCACCTGTGCACAGGACAGCTTCTCCAACGCATGCTCCCTGGAGCCCCAGGCCCTGCACCCAATAACCTAGGCCTGGGCCTGCCTGGCTAGCCCTTAAGACAGAGACATAGGCTACATCTGCTGGGTACACTGCAGCGGACAGGAAGGGCCCCCTAAGACAGAGCCAAGTCCCAAGTCCTAGGGCCTGTGAATGTGGCCTCATTTAGAGGAAAGATATGACTACGTTAGGCTCTCAGGAGACGTCGTCCTAAATCCAGTGGCCACTGTCCTCAGAGTAGGGTTGGGGAAGAGAGAGCAGAAAAGCCAGGAGCTGGAGGAGGCAGGAGGGACCCCAGAGCTTCAGAGCCTGAGCCACCCTCGCCCCTGCCCCCAGCACCTTGATTTCTAACTTCTGGCCTCAGAACTGTCAGAGAATAACTTCTTGTTCAGCCTGCCTGACTAGCTACCTTGCCTCAGGCTGTTGTGGGCCTCTGGGCTATCAGAGGTGCCTAAAGCTGAGGTTCAGAGAACTTGGACAAATGTTGTTTAGAATGGAGCAGGTCTAGCCTTGATCAATGAGCTACTTTGTACCTAGTGGAGAGGGACACTGTCCCCTTGCCTGGTCTCATGCCAGACCTTTGTATGGTGGGAAGACCACAAGCTGGGGAAGGAGGCTGGGTGATTTGACGCTGGGGCTTACAGTGGTATGACCACAGGCCAGTCACCTTACTTGCGTCCTATGGACTCTCCCACACAGTGGGTCACACCTTCTTGGGGGTGCCTGGTGGGACAAGGCCCAGGGCTGACCTGTGCTCTACCTCTCAGGCAGAGCTTGCCCTGAGCAGGGCTGCAGCGTGGCAGGGGAGGGTCTGGCCTGTGCTGTGTTCCCCTCTCCAGCCCAGCCTAAGGGTGAGAGTGGGTACCGTGCAAGCCTAGTAGTGGGGCACCCACAGAGCGCCTGTCCCCAATCCTGCCTTGGGGGCGATCTCCTGGGGAGCTCTGGAGAGCTCAGTCCCAGAGACAGGCAAATCACTGAAAAGCCTGTGTCTGTCAGAAGGACTCTGATGTGTGCTGCCTTTACCTGAGGACTGGGGTGCAGGGATCATCGCAGCCTTGAAAAGGAGAGAAAGGCAGTGTGAGAGGCAGGCGGCCAGCACCATCACGCAAGGTCCAGGATGTGGGGATACTTACGGCTTCACTGGGCTGCAGGGCTGGGGCTGTAGGGGAAGGAAACACGTCAGTCCTGGCTAGGCAGGCAGTGGCTCCACCAGGCCCAGGGCTGAGCAGGTCCACCTGCCCTTGTTCCTGCAGCCGCCGCCAATGCCTCTGTCCTGCCTCCCAGTAGGGAGGACAAGCCAGGAAGGTTACTTCTCTAGCTGCCACGATAGGACATGGGGGAGCTGGAGATTTAGCTCAGTGGCACAGCGCATGCCTGGCAAACGCGAGGTCATGAGTTCAATTCCCAGTACCGGAAAAAAAAAAAGGACATGGGGAAGGAATCCCCTCCAGGGGTCTTTGCCCAAGGTGGTACTTGAGGTCCTTGGGATATCTGTACTAGGGGTTCACTGGGGTGCCCTGGCCTACTACCCCGCCTCATTTTTCTCTGTCCTGTGGCCAGCAAGGCCAGCCATGCCCACTGCCTGCTTTGCTCCAGGGGTGCTGGGGAGGCAGAGATACTGGGTGGACACAGGTGTGGAACTTCCCATGGCCAGTTGTGCAGGGGCCCACAGAGCTGATTCTAAAGTGCCTGTCTTGACTGGCATTGGCACAAGGCCACCTCAGGCTCTCAGGATGCTAGGGCACCCATCGCAGGCTGGGCCTGGGGAGAGGGGACGCCTGCACCTGAACAGTGCCCCTGGGCACCACCTGCCTCTCAAGTTGGCCCAGGTCCCAGCAGCACACTGCTGGCTGGACTGCTGGGAAATACCTTTATCACTCCTGTAGAAGATCCTGGGGAGCTTACTGGCGCGCTTCAGGTAAAAGAACCCAGCTACAGAGAGGATGAGACCCATGCTGATGAAGAATGTTCCCAGGAAGAGGGAGACCACCACACGAGGAGCCCCTGTAGCAAACCAACAGTCAGCCATGGGAATCTGTGGTGCCCAGGACTCCCTGCTAAAACCCTGGGGGCTGCCACTCCCTTTTGGTCACCTTTGATGGCCAAACACACCTGGCTACAGAGCCTTGGGATGCTGCCCTGCCCTCCTGGCCCAGGTTTCTTGAGGAGGTGGGAAGCTGGGGGGAAAGGAGCCCCCTGGCTAACTCCAAACGCACCCAGCCCTGGGCTCTCCATGCCCCTCGGCATCCTCACCTCTCCACTGCTTCGAGTCACACCCCCTCAGTCACTGCCAGCTGGGGAGGTGCCTTTTTCACCCTGAGACACAGAGCCATCTACCAGACTTGTGCCTGGCTCCATTTGGCTGGCACTGTGCCAGGGGGCCAGGGACCTGTCCAAGTCAGCTGCTGCCCTGTGCAGCTGGCTTCAGTGTCCTGGTCAGGGCTGGGCCTGGGGCTTCCTCAAGTGTACTTTCTGGTGCAATGAGAGGCAGACTGAGCCCCTCAGATCAAAACTCCAAACCCAGAAACCAGTCCAGCACTGCACTAGAGGGTTAAGAGTCCCCCATGGCAACAGAATCACCTCTGCAGAGGAAGGAGCTTTGCACTGGAGCTAGGTGCTGTTCCTTGACTTCCGCCTCTGTGCAGCTGGCTTCAGTGTCCTGGTGCCTGTGTGCCCATCCCTCTCCTAGCCCCAATCCTAGCCCCAGCGCCAGTCCCCTCTGCCAGTTGCATTCTTGGTCCAGCCACCTCCACCCATCAGGCTGCTTCCTACCCACCAGGTCATGCCCTCCTCCCTGCCTGCTAGGCCTTCCTCTCAGGTAGGACTGCAGGTCTAGGAGACTCATCTCCCCCAGGACAGGACAGGTGGGGTGGAAGGTATTTCTGCCTGGTGCATGTCTCCCTTGAGCCTCAGGGTGGCTTCCACTCCCCAGAGGACCTGCTGGGGGCTGGTGCCAACCAGGAATGAGGCAAAGGCCAAGTAACAACACACATCGGTGAATCACGAACTGTAGCCTCCGAGACTGTGGGAGGGATGTGGCACCTCTCCATCAATGCTGTCCTCAACATGTGCCCCCTACCTAAGCCAAGTGACTCCAGCCCTGGGCTGCAGGATTCTGCTGGCCATATCACGACCAGGGGGTGATGCCTGCAGCTCAGTGGGCCTGAGGCTGTACTGGCAAAAGCTCTCCGACATTCCCCTCCACCCCCAGGACCCAAGCAGAGGTCTGGCTCAGGTCTGGGGCATTGAGAGACTCACCAAAATGTGGCCAGCCAGGCGTCCCTGTGCTCCTGTTCATGGGAAACTGAGCACCCCAGCCAGTGACTGTGGGAGAGCAGAGCTGAGGCGGTGTGTGGGGGTGCTGTGCGGGCCCTACATGGACCGCCCCACCCCACCTGAGAGATGTCTTGGGCTGGAAACGAGACCAAGGTGGCTGTGGATGGAGTAGCCCTCAGCCCACAGCTACGGCAGTGGACAGAGGATTCAGGAGGGAGTCCTGCAGGCTGTCCACCAATGGACAGTGCTCCTGGGCAAGGTGGGCCACCACTGCTGGGCAACAAGGACAGCAGTGCTCCAGTCTCCCCAGACTAGAGGTGTGGGCTCCTGTGAGGAGCAGGGAAAGAGGGAGGGGCAATGGGACAGCGGGATGGAGACCTACGGCTTCTGCACTCGGAGGCGTTGTAGACTGGGAAGGTCCCATTCTGGCATTGCACACAGCTGATGCTCCCATCTGCATTCCCATGCCTGTAGCAGCCTGCACCGGGGAGGACAATGTTTCTCAGGAAAGTAATTCAGGCCGGCTCACAGTCTCCTGGGCGTTTTTCTGTCTCTCCTCAAGTTTGGCACACAGTCTTCCTTTAAGAACACTAATTTGCTGGAAGTATGGGTAGAACTGGCTCAGATTCAAAAAAAGAAATAGGCTCTTGCTGCTGAGGAGCCCATGTCCTTCTGGTTACTGCAGGAGGCAATTCAGAGAGGCTGATGATGGGCATCCAGTTATAGGGCTGTGTGATGGCCTAGTGTGGGGGACTGGAGGCCTGGCCTTTACCTCCTGCCTCATCCACTACATCTCCCCAAGACTACTACCCCCAAGGTGTGGACACTGCTGCCATGAGCACCGGGCACCCTCCCTCAGCCTCCACATGGGGTAGGCACAATGTCAATTTCTCACCCTTGCACCCTCCCCAGGGTCTCTCTCAAGGGCTCCCTGCAGGATCAAGTCAAATTTCCATCCCAGACTGCTGCCCAGAGCCTGTTCTCTCCCTGCCAAGACGTTGGGAACAATCTGGCTCTCACTGGCCATAGGCTGATGGACAGGTGTCCTCCAGCTTCCTTTGAGGATAGAGATTGAGTCTTACATCTTTACTTCCTTCCAACACCCTCAACACTTAACACAGGCCGGGCAGATGCACACTCCACAAATATGAACTGTGCACACTAAAAGCTGGCACTGGACCCTGAGCAGTACCCAGGCTAAACCGTACTATACTTCATGCACATTTCATCTAAGCAAGTGGCCCTTGCTGAGATGACAGTCTTCTGTGGTGAGAGGCAGTGTGACACCAGGGACAGGGGTCTGAGAGGGACATCAGCACAGGGTGGCTCTACCAATACTGTGAGCAATGCTGTGAGCAGTGCACTGGGCTGGAGAACCTGAGGCCAGCACTTGGTTTCTCCACCTGGGTCAAGCTGTGTGCCCTGATATGGAGCTGTTAAGAAAGGCCACCTAAGCAGCTGCTCATCACAGCCCTGCGAGGCAAGGGTGGACCCCCAGGGAAGGCCCCCTAGGAGGCACACACTGCCTGCTCAAGTCTCTTCCCTCGGAGGCCAAGGAGTCCAGTGGGGTCCACAACACACAACATAGAACCTGGTGCCAATACTGAGATCCTCCCTGAAAGCTTCCCTTCCAATGCTCCTGTGCTAAGAAGCAACTAGGTCACAGGCAGGGAGAAGGCAGGGCCAGAGAGGTGATGGTGGCTCTGCAGGCCTGTTGGGCTCCTATGTGTCTCTATACAATCTCTGCTCTATACCCAGAGCCTCTTGACTGCACACCTTCCCATGACTCCCATTTTATTCTCAGCCCTCACTGCTGGCTTCCTGCCAACCCATGCCCAGACGTCCAGCCCCAGCCCTCTGGACCCAGCCTCTCCATCCACAGGCCCCATACAGCCTCCATGCCTTTGCCACACCCTCCTTCCATGGCAGTTAGCCATCGTCCTCAGGGCACAGCTGCCTGGTGAGCTTAGATTCATGCCTTCTTTCCTTTGGGGGTGTGACAGACTCCAGGACAGAGGTGCTCAGGCCTCCCTTGCTAAAATTACAGTGTTGAGCCATCCCAGCCTGAGCCCACCACAGCCCAGAGCCATCCCCTGCCTCAACTGATGCTCTTGTCCCCTGCAGAGACTTCCTGTCACTGGACAGCAAAGAGAGATGGTAGCCCTAGCACCATTTCACTTGGGCCCACCCCTCCCCATGCTGCCCTAGCTGGCTTCTCCATGCTGCCTGCGGGAAGGAGGTTTAGCTGGACCCCTTTGCCCAGTGCTGTTTCTGTGCTGCTCACCACTGAGAAGAAGCAGACGGGGTCATGTATACCACCTGTGGGCACTGGTGGCTTGGTGACTGATCTGGTGTCTGCCTGTGCCAAAGTGGCTTACCTGGGCCACAGAGGTTTGTTCCAGGGCAGGTGGCATTGATGTCCACCACATCCACACAACACTCTGGCTGCTGGGCCTGGAGAAGAGACAGTGGTGGACTGAGGAGAGGAATAGGGAAGGTGGCTCCCTGCACATGACCCAACACCCACGTCCACCTCCCCCAAAGTCGACACCAGGAGACACCTGGCTCTGCTGGCACAGGAGCCAACTTGCTGATCCCTTGCATGACACCTCAGGGAAAACTTCAGTCATGGATAGAAAGAACCAAAGCCAGAGAAGTTCCAAAGCAGGCAGAGCTGAGGCTGGGCATCTTTGGGGCAATCCTTGTGGCACCCAGACTCAGCCCAGTCATAGCACACAAGTCTCTGCTGCATCTTCTCTATGAGCTCTGGGAGCCCCTCAAGGGCAGTGTGCAGCACTGTGTCTGACCTGTGCAGGGCATGTGGCCAGTGAGCATTTGATGACTGAATAAACAGTATAAAGCTGGGACTGTCTGGTATATTCTGAAACAGCCCTAGGACTCTGAACTGCAGCCTGGGCCTCAGGCAGCTTGGAGGCAATGGGACTCAGAACACATGACCCCAAAATATACTACTTTGGTGCTTGAGAACACAGAAGCAGGTCTCTCTGAACCCATGGCCTCGGCCCTCGAGCAGCCATAAGGCTCTCAGGGAAGATATGCCTTCCCCAGCCCAAGGACAGGAAGGCCCTTGTTGTAGAAGACACAGGAAAGAGTCGCAACTAACCACGGGTCAGGGTCCCTTTCAGGAGCAGAACCATCCGTCCGTCTTCCTCCAAGCTGGCCATCACACACAGGTGTCTGTTTCTTTGGCTCTCTATTCTATATGGAGGCTCCCATGTCACATAGATGTACTTTTCCCTTACTAATCTGCCTCTTGTTATAGGAGCCTCAGCCATGAACCTTGTGGTGGCTGAAGAAAAATCTCTCCTTGCCTATACGGAGCAAGGGGAGAGCTGAACCCCATCCGGGGACGCTCCTGGGCTGTAAGGGTCCTATGGTTGGCAGAGTCTCCTCTCTTCACTCCTCAAGCCCTTGACAGGGAGGTGGTGGCAACCGAGTGCTCTCTATGCATGGTGTCCCTATGCTGGCCAGAGCGCTCCAGGATCTGCCTGTCTGGGCCACAGGTAATCACAGGGTGGAGTATTCTAGTTGATGAAATTATCAATCAGTGAAATCACTTCTATTAGTCACCTACTAAAACATTACGCTGTTCAGCTCTACTGCATGGTCAACTCTAGAAACTCCCTCAAGGAAAAGGACACACATTTTTGTTGACCATACAGAAATGCAAACAAATCGCGAAGAGGGAATGAGGCACCTTTCCTGCACTCTTGCCAAAGATTCAGCACCCACTGAAAAACCTAAAAGGTGCTGGGGGCTTCCCTGGGGCTCTCTGCAGGGGCTTGCACCTTGGTCTCAAAGAAGTGCCCAGGCCAGGCCAGAGTCTCAGAGGGGTGGAGTCACACCCACTGCCTTACACAGCATCTGTGTGCCAAGTGCTATGTAGCATGTGGGTGTGTGAAGGTCTGTTCACCAACTACTGGAGGTCTGTACAGGCCTCGAGTGGGCTGGGAGGATCCCCTGGGTAACTTTGGCTGTGGGGTCATCACAGTTGGAGTTCTGTTTCCTGTGACCTGAGCCAGTTCGATAGTGAGGGGCATCTAAAGGGAGACCTAGGGGTTCTGGGAGCACCCACAGGAGGGCCCATGCCCATTGCATGGCCATCCCTCAAACTAGCTGTGGCCAAGTCAGGGAACAGCACCCCAAACCTCCAGCAACCCCAGCCTGTGTGGCCCCCACCTGGTTCTGGCTTGGGGTCCAGCGCTGCTGGCATCAGCCCTTCTAGACACCACAGCACATTGGCATGTCACTCCCAGGGGGAGCCAGGATGTCCTGCTGTGAGGACACCACCAGCCACCACTGCTATCCGACAAGCAGCAAGCAGCTCCCACAGGGTGGCTCTGCAGGGACCTCCAGTCAGCTACAGTAACAGGTAACTTAGCAGAGAAACTTCTGGGAAGCAAAGCAGAACAAGTACAGAGTAGGACACAGCCCTTCCATCTGGTAGCTTCATCTAGACCCCGGGAGCTAAGCATCAGGGGCCTCCTGGGCCAAGGGTGAAACTCCAATTTAACTTCCTACTCCTGGCCACATGGTCATGGGACAGGGAGGGGCACCAACCTTGTTCTCTGTGGACTTGCTGGCGACTCCCACCAGAAGGCCAGCCAGAAGCGCGAGGCACTGTAGGGCCATGCCAGGGAGCAAGAGGACAGCAGGGTCTGTGCAAGAGAGGAGGAGAGAGAGGGCAGGCAGGGCAGGGCCAGTGGCACAGTCCAGGAGAGGCTGGAGGGTGCAGTCCAGTCAGGGAGGGACCTTATGGTGGAAGGTGGGGGCCGAGATAGAAGGATGGAGCAGCAGTATGAAGAGGGTTAGGCTTCACTGGGAGTGGGGTGGGATAAAGCAGGCAGATAGCGGATGGGTTTGTGGGTGGTCTTGTGGGTCAGCTGTTGCCCAGGCCTCCTGGAGCAGTAGGTTCAGGTCAATCCAAGGTGCTCTTACCTGCCCTTCCAGGATGAGAGCTGCAAACATCAGCACAGGCCACCAGGGCAGTCAGTGGTCAGCACAGCTCAGGCTGCTGAGTCATGTGGAGCTCATGCAAGCTGGCTGAGTGCATGAGGCTGTGGTCACTGGGAGGATAATTTTCTGGCAGAGAGGACCCAGAGCCCAGTGAGGGACAGCCCGGAGCACCCTCCAACAACTCCACTAGGTCAGGGTCCTAGAAGCAAGGCCACTTGCACCTCTGATCTCTGGCTCACAGATCAGATCCAAAGTCTGATCAGACTTTGCTCACATCTTGAGCACGGTCTCCCACAGTCGGTCTCCTCTTGGGTGGCTGGGGCCTCAGGGTAGACCAGGACTTTCAGTGCAAGTGTTCTGCTTTCATCACCTCTGGGCCACAAGAGTTAAGTATCCACAACCATGGCCCCAAAGACACAGGGTGTAATAACTTCTAGTCATGGGAAGAAGATCCAGAGGGCAAGCCAACTGGAATGCACATTGCAAGCAGACTTCTTAAAGCTCAGACACTTGGTGCTCGAAGTCCACAGGGCTTCATGCCTGCCACATCCCTAGCACAATAGAGGATAAACCTGCACTCACTATACAGGCTTGAAGTACCATCATTTGTACAATTTTTAACAACTGTTAACTCACAAGGCAGAACTCATCATCTGTCCCAACACAGCTAGGTCAATATTTCAACATAAAAGTTACCTCTAAGGTGACTTTTCCTGGGTGAAGGCAGCTGCAGAGTGGAAGCAGCCGTGCCAGGAGTTTCAGCTCTGAGCATAGACCTCAGCAGCAGCGTCCTGCCAGCTCCAGGCTGGTCCTCAGAAAGAACAAAGATGTTTCAGTCTGGGGCAGGAAACAGGAACTACATTCTTGGGCTGGCCATAGGGAGAGGACATGGGGTCCACAGTTCCTGACGGTGAAGGCTCAGGGGGACTCAGGATCTTGTCCCATCAACAGGGAGTGGTGGGGTCTGTCCTGTCATTCATGTTACAGAGATTTAGCCCAGGGCTGTGGGTAGTGAAAACACTGTGTTGGTGGGAGGTGGGCCATGTTGTCCAGGCCTGCCCTGAAGAGAATGGGCCTTTTCTGTAGGAAAAGTGCACCCCACTAAAATGCATGTTCCCCTTGCCTCATGCAAGGACACACTCAATCACAGCCAGAGCCACTCTAAACCCACAGGGAATAAGCAAATCCCTTCTTTTTGTCTATTAGATATTTGCTTAGCACACTTTCTCTCCCCTGCCTGGAGAAAATGCCTAGTGCTCTGGACCCTTCTGCTTACTTTCTGGGAAGAGGCATCCTGGGGCCAGACCAAGTCACAAAAAGAATCTGAAGTCCGAGATTTCAGTCAATGCTTCCATCTCCTACTTAGTCAACTTTATTGAGACATGGTTTACATACCATAAATCACATCCACTTATAGTACATAATTCAAGGAGTTCTGGCAAATTACTCACCGGTGAAGCTGCCAGCCACTAAAACCAAACAGCTCTCTGTGGTCCCTCCTCCTTCAGCCCTTGGCCCCCAGAATCCACTGAGCTGGCCATATCACTACAAATCTGTACTACACAGAATTTCATTCAAGTGGATCACAGCACCTACACCTTTGTGTCTGGCTCTTTTCATGTGTTGCAGCCTTTAGATGCATTGTGTAGTTTATCTGTATTCTTTCTTTTTCCAACTAAATGGCATTCCACTGTGTGGACAGATTTTTCTCTACTCATCACCTGTTCATGGATATCTGGGCTGACTCTGGTTTTTGGTGACTATGAATAAAGTTGCTACAGATGCCCTTGTACACTTATTTGTGCGGACATGTTTTCATTTCTCTTAGGTCAATATCCGGAAGTGGACTGGCTGAAACCTAGGGAGAAGTACTTTATGTTGAACTTTTTGATGCTGCCAAGCTGAGTTCCACACTGGTGGTCCATTTTACCTTCCTACCAGCCAGGTAGGAGAGGTCAGCTGTTTGCATCCTTGCTAAGACTTGGTGGTAACTGGTGTGTGTGTAGCAGTACCTCATTGTTCTTGTTAGCTACTTTTCTTTGGTGACTAACAATGGTCAGTCATTAGCCATTGGTGTATCTTTTGTTAATTACTTTATTTCTTGGTATCACTGTAAACACAAAGTAATTTCTGATTTCATTTTCCAGTAGCTTGCTGCTAATATGTAACAAAAGTTAATTTTGCATATTAATTTCTGAGATCTTGCTAAAGTCACTTAATAGCTCCAGAATTATCATTATTATTATTATTATTATTTCTTAGGGTCTTCTACAATTATATCACCTGCAAATAAATGCAGTTTTTCTTCTTCCTCCCCAGTCTCTATGACATAACCCACTTCCCTTCTCCTCACAGTGGTGAGCACTCAGCAGCACACTTGGGCAGAAGTGCTAAACGTAGGCAGATTCCCTATTCTTCACTTCAGGAGTAAAGGGCTCAGCCTTCACCACTGAGTGCAAAGTCTGGCATAGGTTTTGGTTTTTCTGGTCTTTTTGAGATAGGGTTTCACCATGCAGTTCAGGCTGGCCTCAAACTCACAGTGATCTTCCAGCCTCCACCTCCTGAGTGCTGGGATTACAGGTATGCACCACCATGCCTGGCTGACATACATTTTTCAAAGATGCTTTTTATCAGGTTCACAATTTCCTCCTCTTCCTACTTTGCTGAGTGTATTTAATCATAAGAGGATTTTAAATGTTCTCAAAAGCCTTTTATGCTTTTCTACATAGATTGGAATGATCGTGTAGGTTTTCTCCTTTACTAATGTGGTGATTACACTGATTGATTTATCACTGTCCTATAAATTCTAGCCAGTGCAATAAAGAAAACAAAAGCCATAAAGATGAGAAAAGAAGAAGTCAAAATGTCTCCATGATGACAGGATTATTTCCATGGCAAATCCTAAGAATTCTACCAAAAACAAAACCACCAAGCAAGAAATTCCGAAAATACATTACAAGCAAATCTGACAGTGTTCCAAGATTGTTTTTTTATTGTAGATAGATGAGGAGATAAGCAACTGATTAGTGAGAAGAGCAGAGACCCAGAAAGAGGGCTTCACATACCCAGCTGAGTGGTTTTCAACAAGATGCCAAGGTGGTCCAACGGGGAGAGAAACCCTTTAAAACAACTGGACACTCTCACCTCACACAGCAGGAAAAGCTAAATAAAGCTAAGGGAACACCAAATCTAGAAAGTTTGTAAAAGGAAACAGAATATCTTCAGGCTTTTGATTGGTCAAAAACTTTGTTGTTGTTGTTGTTGTTGTTGTTTGGAGACAGGGTCTCACTTTGTAGTGCAGGCTGGTATTGAACTCACTATAAAGCCCAGGTTGGCCTCAAACTCAGCAATCTTCTTGCCTCAGCCTCTTGAGTGCTGGGATTATAGACATGCACCACTATGCCTGGCTGGACAAAAACTTTTGGACAGGACACTGAAATTTCAAAGACGAAGAAAAACTGATAAATTGAAGTTCACTGAAATTAAAAACTCTACTCAGCTGGGTGCGGTAGCACATGCTTGAATCCCAGCTACTGGGAATCCCAGCTGAAGCAGAAGGATCACAACTTTGAGGTCAGCCCAGAAACTTAGTGAGATCCTATCTCAAAATAAAAGGCCTGGCAATGTAGGTCAGAGGTAGAATGTGTGTCCAACATGTATGAGGCTCTGGGTCAGTCCTCAGTGAGAGAGATGCAGGGGTGGAGGGCAGGAGAATGCCAAACCGAACTCTGTGCTCTAGCTGGCAAATTTGCTTCTGAAACTGTTATTCATGTACACTGTGCCTAACAAATAAGTAGGTGAACAGCAGATGGTAGGTGCAGGGTCTCACCACCACAGTGAAAGGTGCAGAAAAGCACATTCAGGTCACACACACACACACACACACACACACACACACACACACACTCAGATATGCACATCAGCTAGCTCTGTCCAGAGAGGTCCTAGAAGGAACGACACTCCAATGCCAAGAACACTTAGGTTTAGATCCTGGTTTCCAAGATCCTCCTCCAATCAATCATAAGAACTACAGTATCTTGGAGAAGTGGCTGACCCCAGGACTGGGGCAGAAAATGCTTAAAATGAGCCAGGAGTAACTTATAATGCTAGAAAGAAAGGGATGGAGGCAGGTGAAAGAGACATAGGAGCCAAACAAAGGCACTCCAGGACCAAACAGCACAGCTCTGAATCACAGACCAGCTCACAGCCAGTGTCCTATAGGAGGAAAAAAGACCCTGCAGCTTGCCTGCAGTGGCTGCCCAGCCATACCCCAACAGATGAGTGTATGAGACTAGGTATGGTATTGATACCAGGAAAAGTGGGTCTCTGCAACTTTTCTGTAAATCTAGAAGTATTCCAAATAAAATTACTTACACACACCATCAGTGACATGAATAGGCATTTAAAGAAAAAAATGGACCAAAGACTTGATCAGATACCAGAACACATGAACAGATAATATGAAGAAGGAGGTGTACTTAGCACTGTCCTCTCAGCACTGCCCTGCCCCTTCATGTTGGGAGCACAGGGCAGTGGGACTACCCAGCTGTGGCAGGTTCACTCTAGGTATTTTTCCAGGAGAAATGAAAACAGATGCTTACAAAGGACATGTCCAAAAGTGGTGACACTGTCTTTAGTTACTAACACTATAAACCCACCAGAGGGAAGCCACTTCGCCACCTGAAGCACAGCAGGAAGAGAGCGGGAGGGCAGAGGCACATCTCCAGGTGGCACCAATACACTGTAGGTGATGGCCAGGGCACTGCGTGGCTTGCCTCTTGTTGGGAAAAAGACTGGAAAGGCTTATGAGCAACCCCCGAGGGATAAAGGGACATCTCATAGGAGTGTGCGTTACATGGGTGAACGGGCTCATCAGAATCCACATTTAAGATCTGTGTACCTCCCTGGACATGCAATTCATTTTCCATTCTAAAAATTTTATTGAAGCCCAAAACCTAAATAATGGGGTGAAAAAAATTCCACAATGTAATGAAAAATCTGATGGCTATTTAAGATGTCCTACATGCCATTTCACAATTTTTTTTCCTTAGGAGAACTGGTTTCAATGAAAAAATAAGGTATTCAAGATGCTGTAATTTTAAGTAATTAACAAATTGGCTTCAGTCAGTCATAATGAAGCAATAACTTTTGTCCCTGTAAGTGAAATTTTATAACCTCCTGTTCAAAGACATCCTGTTATGTCTGAGCAGGGCCATCAAGATACAAAACTGTCAAAGTTTGACAAGCTGCCTTTGTTCTCCTTCTGCCTGCCCACAAGTTCCATGCCCAAGGCCAATCCCCTTGACCAAATGTATAAAAGCTGAAACCTGTCCTTTATCCTCTGATCAGCCATTTTGGATTTATCTGCTGAGCCAATGTACATCTAAAAATAAAATCTTCCTGTTTCCCATTTGGTCTCTCCTGTCTCTTAAATCCCTCAACATTTCTGGTGACCATGAAGGGACTGAAGACAACAGATTTGCTGTCTCTTTCACCTGCAGACCCAAGAGGGCCCGAGCTATGGCAGTCCTGAGATCACCAGGTGAACACCATGTGCCCCCCCAAAATCCAAGAACAGGTGGCTAGGCAAAGGGGTGTCACATGACACCAATCTGCCAAATGTATGAATAAATGTGCTGCAGTGATTAAGCAGTTCCTTTTCCTCCCATCTCCACCTGATCTCAGCTTTCTGTATATTGTCTCTTATCTTTATTTCTCCATTCTCTTGATGTTCGTCCTCCCGAAACTTCGAGAACTGTGCTGAATGTGGCATATTGGTGCCTGAACGGGGACCAGGGTAAGAAGAAATAGTGGGTGAAGGGACACTTCTCATTGTGCACACAAAATGGGGGGAACTGCATTGATAGCATCAATATTAATCACAGCGGTGTATTGATATTGTTATCTTCAGGTGTAAAACATGGGACAAACAGTTCTCAAAGAACATGTATCTAGAAATGATGTATACAGATGTATATAGAAATGCTTCTTGTATTATTGATTCCTATATTTACTTTATTTTTGTGGACTTGGATTAGGGAGTGTCTTAATGGTTGTAAGCTTGTTGAGAGAACCACAAGGGATTTAGCTTGCAGCACTATTTTAAAATCAAGTCCCAAGTGGAAAACAGATGGCAGAACAACAGCTCCCCTAATAGAACTTAAACCCTCTAGCTTTGCTCAATCAGATAAGGAAGGAACTGAAGGCGACAAAAAAGAAATAGCTAAAGCATATTTAAATCTAGGGGGTTATTTATTATGGAAGGAAAATTTTTTTTTATTTGTGCACATATCAGGCCACCTGTGCAGCCAGCTCACTGCAGCACAGTGCCTCGGGAGGGAGAGGTGCGGACTGAGTGGAGAGAGGGTCCCGTGCTTTGGTCCTAGGAACTCAGCCAGGATGCCCCAGCCCCTCCATGCCTACAGCTCCTCTGACTCCATGCTCTGCTTGGAGCCACAGGGGCCACAACAGCCCAAATCAGAGGAGGGAAAAGCCAGGGAAAAAATGGTGGCTGTTGCTGCAGAGACAACAGCTGTAGTGTTTTCTAGGGAGGGGGGCACCAGCAAAGCCAACCCAGAGATGGAGCCCATCTCCAGCAGCAAGGTGGGCACTGACCCTCTCTCAGTCACTGCCACCAAGGTGGTGTTGCCAAATAGCGAGGCAAGGCCAAGGGGAAACAGTTCTCCCCTCACGCTAACAAGCCACCACCAGCAAGGGAGCTTGCCCCTAGCCTTGAGGCGATGGGGCAGGAGCCACAGCCAGAGGTGGGAGTGATGATCAGGAGGCCCGGCCCCCAAATATAGGATACAGGATTTTCTTCTATACAAGACTGGGGGGCTGGGGATTTAGCTCAGTGGCAAAAGCGCCTGCCTGGCAAGCGCAAGGTCGTGAGTTCGGTTCCCAGTACCGGAGAAAAACGGAAAAAAAAAAAAAAAAGAACAAGACTGATAATGGCCCAGCCTGTAGGAGTGCTGCCTTCCAAAGGTTTTGTAAAACTTTTCATATTTCTCTTACTGTGAGAATTCCTTTTTTTTTTTTTTTTTTAATACTGGGAATTGAACTCAGGACCTTGTGCTTGCTAGGCAGGCACATGTGCCACTGCGCTAGATCCCCAGCCCCATACCATGGGAATTCCTTAGAGCCCTCAAGGTCAAGGAATTGTTGAATGTGCTTATTGTATGCTCAAAATTCAATTACAAAAACAAAAAGGGGAGTCCTTCCCTACAAAATTTACAACTTGTGATAGCCTTCACTTGGCAGCATATACTATTAACTTTTTTAATCCTACTAGGGGTAGAACTACAGCAGTAGAAAGACAATTCAATCAGGTAAAAGAAAGAAGAACTAGGAAGGGTCCTTTGGAAAGATCTTCATACTAGACAGTGGAAAGGACTCAGCCCAGTGCTAATTTGGGGTTGAGGGTATGCTTGTGTCTCTCCAGAGACTGCTGAACAGCCTATCTAGGTACCAGAGTGTGCTGTCTGGCTGTAACATGGACCCAGGCCTGGAGAAGGAGTTGATTCCACCTTTCAAGAAGCTGAAGCTCAGTCCTATGACAGTGATGCCTCAGTGACTGCTCTATAGCTGATACACGAGGATGCGGCTAGGGGGCCAACTGAAGGAACTGACTCAGAATGCCCTGGAGATGGTAACCAAAAATGGGAATCAAAGGAATGAGTAAGTAGTAGAGTGCTTGGAGATAACCGGACTGAAAGTTACATGAAAGAAGGGGACACAAAAGTTACCAGTATTCATAAGACAAAATAAAATACAAAACATATATTAATTATAGATAAAAGATTTTGTTTTTTCCCAGTTATTATAAGTGATTTCTGCTAATCGACCTACAAATAATTCTGAGTAGTCTATTTATAATTACAAACTTCTAAAACTTAAGAGTTATTATAATTCAATTTGGTGAAAAATATATTAGAGTGAATTATGATTGTGTTTATTGAATCTGTTAAGCTGTGTACTTATTTGTCTGCCTGTCCATTCTGTGAACAGCTGTTTTTTATTTGAGCTCAACAATTTTTCTCTTTTCCACTTTTCTTTTGCATTTTTGGCCCATTTGTTCACGATTTAATTTGGTTTGCAGATTTAAAAAGTATGCTTCCACCTGTGTTCCCAGCTGGGCAAAATGATATCAAATTTGGTTTTCTCATAGGTCATCAAAAACTTGTTAAGATAATTAAACAAAAATCTCTTAGGCTGGGGGCAAATTATTGGACAGGACTCCAATTGATGAATAAGAAAGCAGCTGCTTGGAAAACATTATCCAATTCTTGTTCATTGAGAGGAGGCTCCAGTGATCTCCAAAGCCTTACAGGAGATACCCCAATAAATGTCATTAAAATATGTTTACATTGCTCATTCATCAAGGGATTAAGTTTTCTAGACAATAAGATTTTTTATTTAAAGATGCTCTGGGGGCTGGGGATTTAGCTCAGGGGCACAGCACCTGCCTGGCAAGCATGAGGTTGTGAGTTTGATTCCCAGTACCAGAAAAAAAAAAAAGCAAAAATGCTCTGGTGCAAAGGTTTTCATATGGCTATGACAATTGATTGTTATGCTGTAGTGTATTGAACATATTTATGCCTACAGGTGTGCAGGTCTTCCAAAGTGTAGAACAAGGATTGCTTATAGTGATAGACTTTTCTTTCAGATTCAGACACCTGCCTTTAACAAAAACTTATATGATGTACATCCCATTAAAGGCAACAAGTTAGGTAAAAGCTTCTTACGTACTAGAGGTGATTGATTAAAAGGGTTATGCTATGTCAAAATGGAAATTTAAGTATATTACAAAATGTCATCATGATTGTCACGTTGCAATATTATGTATAGCTTTGGATTTCTAATTTTCTGTGTAAACTATGTAACAACATTCTTTTTATCGTTAACATTCTATAGGGATTCAAAATTAGAACACTGATGGTTGCTAGAAAATAATGGTTCTATTTTTTTTTTCTTTTTTTTGAGACAGAGTCTCGCTATGCAGTTCAGGCTGGCCTTGAGCTCACTTTGTAGCCCAGGCTGGCCTTGAACTCGCAACGATCCTCCTGCCTCAGCCTCCTGAGTGCTGGGATTACAGGCATGCGCCACCACGCCCGGCTAATGGTTCTATTTTATGTTCTAAGGTGCTTGATATTTAGGTAAGATTGTAATATTATAAGCTTAAAGTATTCATTACAATGTAATGTCATTAAACTTCTCTTTTGGATATTCAACAACTGAGTTTGGAGACCAAAAACTAGAAAGATAGATGGGTTAGGAGGACAGCCAATATTTTGGCTGCAGCCCTTTGAGGTCAGTGAGGACCCAGGACATAAGAGAACCTCTGCTGTGACATCCCATAACTTAGGGTTAGGGTTAAGTCCTTGATCTTCTGACCAAGGAGATTGTGGGACCACAGAGGAAAGTGATTAACAATGTATAGTGTGCCTAAGGAGAGTCACCAGGAGAGAAAACAATCTCCCAAGCTTTCATAGAAAGCAATTTGGTCAAGCAATGGCTGAGGCACATCCAGATAGCTGACACCGGAAGAAGTATTAAGAGATGCTTTACTTGGTTCCAAGTAATTCCTGAGGAGACTTAACTGACTTTGATAGATAGCAAAAAATTAATTAATACAGGTCTCACTTTAACTTGGTCTTGAACATCTAGCAGAAAAGTATAATCACAAGATGGAAAATTTAAAAAAAAAAAAACAAGGAAAATTGTCTGCAGAGTCCTCCAAACATAGCTCCTCCAATTTCAACTGACCCCCACATCACTTACAACTTCAAAACAGAAAAGGGGGAAATGTGGGGAGTAGCTAAAGCTGGAAATTGATCACATGTGCAGGGGCAAGGCAAGACCTATCCAAAAATAATGTGCACCCAAGGGGAGCCACATAAACAATCTACTCTAGTCCAAAACAGAAAACAAAATAAAACAAAATGCAACCTCTGATATCCAAGAACAGGATGCTAGGCAAAGGGCTGTCACGTGACACAAATCTGCCAAATGTGTAAATAAATGCGCTGCAGTGGTTCAGCAGTCCCTTTTCCTCCCATCTGGAGAGAGGGCTCCACTGACCTCAACTTTTTGCATATTGTCTCTTACCTTTATTTCTCCATCCTCTTGCCATCCTTCCCCCTGAAACTTCAAGAGTTGTGCTGGAAGTGGCAGTTCCCCTACTGAAAAAGGACCTACTCTAAAACTACAGGCCCAAATCGCTTTTAGGCCACAGGGATAAAGCAGAGACAACATAGCACAAGACTGACATTGAGGAGCACCTCACCCAGCTGCACAAGACATCAAAGAGTAAGCTCAAGCAACAGGAACCGAAGGAGGAGACACTGAGGCAACAGCAACAAATAAAAAAGATCCTTACATGGAAGGTGGGTACCGAGAAAGCTACTGTAAGCAAGATAGACCTAAAACTGGAGTTGGGACACATCCGCAGCAAATGCCAAGAACATATTGCATAGCAAGAAACTAGCAAAACTGGAGGCTGCTCAGCAGCAACAGTGAGCAGTGGGAAAACAAAACAAAACAAAATTGTGGCTCCACGAGGCCAAAGAACATATGCAAAAGAGCCTGACAACTGAGGAGGAAGCCACAAGGCACCACAAGGCTATACTGGAGAAAGCTGAGCAACTCAAGGCCAAAGTGAAAGAGGCTCAACACCTGCAGGAATGAACAAAACAAGTCAGCTCAACAGTCACAGCTGATCTAAGAGGCTGCCCAGAAGTGACTACAGATGGAGAAAGAAAACATATGACCATCCTGGCATGGCTTCGTGGCAAGACAGGCAACTCAGCAAGCAACTGAGGAAGCTGAGGAAGATTAAGAACATGCTGAGCAGAAGATCACACAGTCTCGCTGGCAGTTGAAAGACAGAGTGACTAAAACAGTTGACCAAGACACATGGCCAGGCCAAAGTACAAGCAGAGCTAGAAGCACAAAAATTACAATGGCACATGGAAGAAGAGAGGACACAGCAAAGAAAAAAAAAACAGTAACAGACATCCAAAAACACAATATCTAGAAAGAGGTACAACAACTGCAGCAGAGTTCGGAGGCAGAGATCCAAGCCAAGACCCACCAGGTGGAGATGATCAAACACAACAGGCTCCACACCAAAAAGGAGATCCACATGGTAGACCTATGGCTAAAGACAAGAGCACCAGCTTGGTAGGGCTAAGGATGAACTGCAGGCTCTATAGATGTGGATGGAAGAGACAAAAATGCAAAAGCAACAACATAAGAGGAGGCTAAACACTTGCTGAGACAAATGCCAGGGGAGAGCCAACACAAGCATCAAACAGAGGCAAAACTGGCCTTGTGCATGAAGGTTAAAACTGAGACAATTCAAAAAAAAGAGGGCTCTACAGTCACTGGAGAAACTGCAACTTCAAGACAAGGAGGCAGAGAGGTGACTGCAGCAGAGACACAACAAACACACCAAGTACAGAAAACCCTAGAAACAAGCCAATGCAACACAGAGGAAAAGCTACAAGGCAAATGTGCCTCCTTTTCAGAAAAAAAAAAAAAAAAAAAAAAAGGCTACACAGCTAAATCACACCCTGCAGAAAAACATGTAACAAGGCCCAGCTGCAGGAGAAAACAAAGCAACAAACAGCAGCAGACAAAAGCTAAGTGTACCCATGAGAAGGCTGAATGGGGACCAGAGTACAGACAACGAAAGGCCAATGAGACACTGAGGCTATGGCTACAAACAGAGGAGATAATACAACAGAAGAGCTTGACACAGGCAAAGAAAAAAGGAAAAAAAAAAGGAGACTATCTTCAGATAAGCCACCAAAGAAGGGAGATAAGGAGCTTCTCCTTTGGAAAGGTGACCAGAAGAAAACATTTAAACAAATCAAAGAAGCCCTGACTCAGGCCCCAGCCTTAGGACTGCCAGATATAACCAAACCTTCCTTCCTTGCTATATGTCTATAAACAACAACAAAATGGCCATAGGAGTTTTAACTTAGGTCATAGGATCCTAATGTCATCCAATGGTATACTCATCAGAACAGGTAGACCCTGTAGCCCTAGGATGGCCACCATGTTTTAGGGAACTTGCTGCCACCACCTTGCTGATACAGAAGGCTAAAAAGTTGACTTTGGGACAACAACTGACCATTCAGGTACCACACTCAGTTATAACCTTAATGGACCAGAGAGGACACCATTGGTTGTCAAATCTAAGGATGACTTGGTATCAGGGGCTTTTATGAGAAAACCCCCACATAACTCTAAGAATAATAGACACTTAATCTGACCACTTTGCTCTCAGACTAGGAGTCACCCTTCATGACTGTATGGTTGTGCTAAAAGAGGTCCAATGAAAAGAATATGCAATGGTGACTGGACTCTGTGGTAGAGGCCCAGCCTCAGCCCAGAAGGCAGAGCTAACAACCTTGACAAGGGCTCTTTTGCCAGCAAAAGGACAAAAATGTTAACATTTATACTAATTTCAAATATAAAAAGAGGGATCCTGAGGGCTGGGGGAAAAGAGGAAAGTTCATAAAAAGAGATTTTATAGCTCCTAGATGCTAAATGAGGTCCAAGAAAAGTGGCCATTACACACTATAGAGAACAACAGAGGACTGGAACATGAGAAGCCAGAGGAAGCCAAAAGACAGATAGGAAAGCAGAGTGAGCTGCTATGATAGCCCCACAAAGGGGTGCCCTAGCTATGTCCCTTATCCTAGAGCTTCCTCTCCTGGAGACCCCAAATTACTCTCCAAATGAAAAGACATGGTTTGCCTGAAAATTTGGAAATTATATCAAGGGAGGACAGTGGATATTCTCTGGTAGGAGACTGGCCATCCCTGAAATGATGGCCCCTAGGTTTGTGAGACAATTCTTCCAAGGGACTCACATGGGAAAGATGACACTGGAGATGCTACTAGGACATCATTTCTATATGCCACAGCTCACAGCCATATTCAAGTTATATATAAACAGTGCCTAACCTGTGCTCAAATGCCAACAATCTGAGACAAGGGCCCACTCAGCCCCCAGGTACTCAAGAAATGGGTGCAACTCCCTGTGAAAACTTGCTTGCAGACTCCTCTGAATTGCCTCCAGTGGAAAGCTACTGATCTACACCTTCTCAAGATGGATAGAAGCTTTTCTCACCTAGACAGAAAAGATACTAGAAATGACAAAGGGCATCATCTCAACATTCAGACTACCCCTCACTCTGGAGTTGGACAAAGGGCCAGCGTTTGTGGTTGAGATAATTCAGGAGCTCACACAGATGTTAAAAATAAAATAAAAATTGCATATAGTCTACCAGCCTCAGAGCACATGAACCAAACACTCAAAAAGTTGTTCAAAAAGTATGGTCAAGAAACACACTTGAGATGGGATCAAGTCCTGCCCACGGTCCTTCTCTGTGTCCAGTGTTCGCCCACCAAACAAACTGGATATTCCCCTTACAAAATCTTATTCAGCTAGCCACCCCTACTCATAGGTAAAATTAAGAGCGATCTCTGTAAAAATTAGGAAAATTGACCTAAAGGAGACAAATACAAGCTTTAGAATAGCTATATGCAACATCCATAACTGTGTGCAGGGGAGAATGACCATAAGCCTGACAGACCCAATACATCCATTCAAACCTGGGAACTTTGGGTTAAAAAATAAAATCCAACAACTTGGATCCATATGGGATGGGCCTCATACTACAATATCGTCTACCCCCACTGCTGTTAAAGTTACAAAAACTGTGCCTTAAATCCACCACAGTCAGTTGAAATCAATGGCCCAAGACAAGTCAACCAGCCAGCAGGATCCAGACCACCTGAACCAGCTGATCCTGTGAAGATCAGACCCTCACTAGAAACAATAGCTGTGCCCTAGTCACCCCAGAAGCTGAGCAGTCTATACACAGCCAAAGCTTGAGGAAACAGCCCTGCTCTGGTCACTCCAGATCTAAAGCTTGTGGTTTAACATGAGTAAACAACAACCTAAGTCTCTTTTCCTTTTTGTTATAGTTCTCCCTCTGCCCAATAGGGAGCCAACTCCCATAACAAGGTAAATGATAATGTCAGTGATGCTCTCTATTAAAACTCATCTGTAGAAAGCATCAAAGGGAGTAACTTTTGACCCTGTAAACGAAATTTTATAACCTTCTGTTCCTATAACATCCTGTTATGTCTGAGCAGGGCCACCAAGATACAAAACTGTCACAGCTTGACAAACTGCCTTTGCTCTCCTTCTGCCTGCCCATAAGTTCCACGCCAAAGGCCAACCCCCTTAACCAAATGTATAAAGCTGGAAGCTGTCCTTTGTCCTCTGCTCAGCCATTTTGGATTTATCAGCTGAACCGATGTACATCTAAAAATAAAATCTTTCTGTTTCCCATTTGATCTCTCCCGTCTCTTGAATCCCACAACATTTCAGGGTTGGGTGCTGGCAGGACAACCCTGCCATAGCAACCACCCACAGGATACTGACAATAACTGCTGCTCTCCTGCAGCTGTAGGAGGGGAGAGGGAGCAGGTGGTGAGCCTTGGTGAGCACAGCATGGGCCAGCTGAGGCCCTGTTGTCCCCCACTAGGCATTGCTGTCATCGTCACAGCAAGCAAAGGAGCTGAGGTAAAAGAACTGTCCAGATCTTACGAACCCAGGCTTCTCAATCTAAAATCTTATCTTTTGCTGAAAACTATCTGACTAGATGTAAAGATAACATTCCAGTCTGCAGAGGTACATGGCAGATGTCAAGATAAATCCTGGCTCTCAGTGCTACCCAAGTGGGACCAGACCTGGAGCCTACCCAGTTGACTCCACCTCCAAGATGTGGAACCCTCAGCGCTATGGTGACCAGAGGTTTTCTTTAAGTGAGTTACCTGGCAAATCAGAGTTAACCGTGGAGAACCAGGGTAATGCATGAAAGGGCTGAGAGGTGTCTTCGGGTCCCTGGGACGCTGCCTGTGGTCCAAATGGTTCAGGTAACTTGGGTATCACAACATCTGCTTGTTCCACCTGCTCTTGGGAAAAATATTGGCAGGAAGATGTGTATGTCAGAAAAAGAAACTGCAAAACCGAGTTTTACTTCCTTCTATCAGCTTCTAAAAATAAAGTAGCCATTAATGATCTTGGCTGAACACAACTCACTGCTCAGTGGTTCCTACCTGGGAGTAGGAACCAGAATAATCAGATGGGTTATTAAACTCCTTCTACAGCCTTGACCCACAGCATTGTTTGCAGGTTAACGCTGTAGAGAAGGAACTGGAACTCGGAGTGCAGTTCCGTGGTAGAGTGGGTGCTTAGAATGCATAAGAACCTGGATTTTATCACCAGCATCGCAAAAACAAACCTTGGAGGATGGAGGAGTCCTCGGTCTAACCTTCTGTGTACACTGCAATAAAACTAAGGAAAAATGGGAGCAGGGTACAACTTTGACACCATCAAATTTCACAAGACTAGGGAGTTAAAAATTCAGTCATAAAGATTTTGAGTGGTGCTTTTTATTTGCCAAAACGCGGTAAGAAATGTATCCACCTCACTTGCGTTTAAACTGCACACCGAACACCCACTTGGGCGCGGTGGAACATCACACGCTGGCCGCACCATTCCCAGGCACGAACAGACCAAAGAAAGCCCCACACCCGGCGGAACACTCGCGCGGTCTTCCCTCTCTGTCCCTCCATCCCTAACCCTTTCTCCATCAGCGCAGCACCGCGCTCCTCTCCCCGCCCGCCGCGGCGCGTCCTGGGGGAGAAACGGACGAAACGGCCAAAGGAGGCAGCCATCCCGCAGAGATTACAGGGATTAAAGCGGACCCGCGAGCCAGGAGGACCCCACCCAGTGGTTAGAACCCCGCGGTTGCCCCCACCCCGCCCCGCCCCGC